AAACACTGAGCAGTTTCACACTAGAGGAAAGGAAGGCCTGGGAGGAAGGACCAGGGCCTCAGAGTGAGGAGAAAACATTCTTTGTGATGTCTTGAGAGAGGACGAATCTTTGCCTACACATTATCTATTAAATACTGCTTTTATAGCAAAGAATTCATTCGAGTACTAAAGTAGTAGCTCCAGAAAATAAATGAATGTCACTGTCACTGTCCCTGTCCTCCCACTGTTCATCGATTTGCTCAAGCGGGCCCAGTAACATTGTCAGACTGGTTACTGTGTTTGGCATATAGAATATGTCACGGAGAGCTTTCCAGGCTTTGCCGTGCAGGCGAGATACTCTCGGTACCTTATGGGGCTCTCCAAGAGGGGCAAAGGAATTGAACTCGGGTTGGCCTTGTCGGCCACGTGCAAGGCAAACACCCTACCCACTGTGCTATCGCTCCAGTGTCTACACACCCTTTATTTTCTAATAAGAATGTCCTAGTTGGGTTAGATGCACATTTGTGAGAAATCAATCAACAAGGGACCAAATTCACTTCAGTCCCAGGATCTTGGTCAGTGAGCAGATGAAGTTAACCAGACAGTCGGAGGCCTCTGCCTCCTTGAGAGGGAGACTTCCGAGCAACAGCTGGACGAATTCCACTCGGGTCCCAACAAAGCATTTGTTCTCTAATGGCCGAGAGAATGCAATTTGCACAGAGACACACACGAGAAGAAACTCACAGGACAGGAAGGATACGTGGGTCTGGTCCAGTGGGAGGACATTCCCCTATCACACCCTCTGCTTCGGGCAGCCAGTGAAGAGTTGTTGGCTCTAAAATTACTCACCAAAAGCAAACAAGTTTCATTTTCTGCTGAAGATAGACTCCCACGCAGAGTAAATGGGACATATCTTTAAAAGAAGCATGTTAAGGAGAAAGAACACAGTGACAGGGCAGTGATCAGTGAACAACAAGCCCCCCCAAAGTGCGGTTGAAACTATGGCTTTAAGAAAAGGTTCCTCGAGTCTTTCAACCAATATATACTCATTAATTGCCATCTCAGGCTCAGGGACGCTCTGATGGAGGAAAGTCCAGCCGTTTAGATACCCTTGTCGGGGTTGGGGGCACTCAGAGAACCCCCCTGCAGTGCTCGGAGCAAACATGTAAATGCTCTTAAAAATTTTATGTGTCCTACACAATGGAGTATTATGTAGCTGTTAGAAAAGATGAAGTCATGAAATTTACATACAAGTGGTACCACATGGAAAGTATCATGCTAAGCGAAATGAGTCAGAAAGAGAGGGATAGACATAAAAAGATTGCATTCATCTGGGGGACATAAAGTAACAAAATAGGAGATTAATACCTAAGAATAGCCGAGATCAGTACCAGGAGGATTACTCCATGGCTTAGAGGCCAGCTGGACACTCTAGGGGAAAGGGCAGCTCAGATAGAGAAGGGAGCACCAAATAAAGGGTGTTTGGAAGATCCTCCCAGGAGGGGAGATACAGGTTGAAAGTAGACTATGGACTGAACATGAGTGCCACTCAATGCCTCTTTTGCAGACCACAACACCCAAAAGGAGAGAGAGAACAAAAGGGAATGCCCTGCCACAGAGGCAGGGTGGGAGGGGGAATGGGGGCGTGGGAGGGATACTGGGATCCGTGGTGGTGGAAAATGGGCACTGCTGGAGGGATGGGTACTTGATCCTTGTATAATCGAAACCCAAGCACAAAAATTTGTAAATCTACAACTGTACCTTATGGTGTTTCACTAATAAAAAAAAATAAATAAATAAAATTGTATGTGTGAGATCACGGATAATTCTTGGCTCTGTGCTCAGGAGCAACTCCTGGGGATGGTCAATAGGTAGTACTCAAAGTAGAACTGGGCTCAGCAGCCCCTAAGGCAAGCACCTGACCCCCGTACTCTCTGATCCCAGATAAAATTCTCCCAAGAGCCAAAGTGGCAGGAAGAAAGAACACGAATCAGTGTGCGAGAGTGAAGCTACTCAGGGCTGGCTTACTGCTCTGGGAGGCATTTTACTTGACAGCAATGTTGGGGAAGAGTACAGAGCGTTCACCTGGAGAAAAGGGATTCTGACAGCTTCTTCGCCATTTTTTTTTCCATCCCCCTTTCCCTTTGCTATTTTTTTGAAAGCTAAGGTCAAAGGAGGTCGCCCTAAGAACTGAGAGGAACAACGGAAGTTTGGAGTTGGGTCTACAGGAAATGATCAGGTTTGTCTCGCTCTGAACCCTTCGTTTCAAAATCTTAGTTTTCCTTCATGTGCTTCGGGAAAAAAAGGCTGACAAACTTTCATCTGAAATGTAAAAACCAGGAAAAGTGGGAGGAATGGAACATGCAAAATAAGTTAATCATTATCATTTTAAGTACCACCAGTTCTGTTTATATTCATGCACATGTGAATTGCTGAATCTCATTTGATCAACCCAATTAAACATTAAATAATTGCAGCCAATTATGCAAATATCCGCAACAATATTAATTTGTTGATCTTTCTGAGCAGATTAGTCTCACATGTTCCTAATGCTAGACTATCTTGCGCCTTAAATGATCAATTAGTGTGACGATAACTAAGTCTTAAAGAATGGATAATTGCCTAGTTATAATGTGCTACCCTTGCTGTATTAATCCACTGCAATTAAACAAACAGTGCACACGGAAAAAAGACATGCGGATGTTCCTTTGAAATCTATTTAGCAAGTTAGTAGCAAGGTCAATTTCCTGTCTTGCTGCTTTAACAGGAATAGCAGAGTATGTTCTATGTATTAGATCTCCAGTTTTGCGGGGTGGGGTGGGGGGATAATACTTAGACTTGAGGTGCCAGGGACCAGAGCCAGGACCCCACACATGTAAGACACATGTTCACCACTTGAGTTAGAGTTATATCCTGCACTCGAGAACTCAATTTTTAAAAAAAAGGGAAAATGAAAAAGAAACTTATTCCTTAGTCTTCGCTAAAATATGTGAAATGCTCTTAAAATTTTAAGAGCGAAATCACAGATAATTCTAGAAATGCTGTCCTGTGATTTTTTTTTTTACAATGGATATGTCTTCAGGCACTAAAGAGGTGAAGTAACAAATGTATTTATGGCAAACAAGGATTTCCACTTCCAATAAGAATGTGAGTTTAGCAAGTAGGTTCTACTTCACAGCTTTAGATCGCACAGAAGTCTTTTCTAGTTTACTGTGTTAAAAATGAGGCCACGGCACTCAATGCCTCTCTTGCAAAACACAGTACCCAAAAGAAGAGAGAGAGAACAAGGGTAAATGCCCTGCCACAGAGGCAGGGTGGGACGGGGGGTTGGGGGGTGGGAGGGATGCTGGAACCCGTGGTGGTGGAGGATGGGCACTGGTGGAGGGATGGGTATCGATCATTGTATAACTGAAACCCAAGCACAAAAACTTATAAGTCTATAACTGTACCTCATGGTGTTTCACTAATTAAAAAAAAATGAGGCCACTGGACTCAGTGAAGGAAAAAAAAGATACTCTTCAAAAATCCCTTGTATAGAGAGAACAAAGTTCCCAAGGCCTGAAACCCTCTGAGGACTTCAGCCCCCCAGGGGAACACCCCCTGAACAATATGTTGCCCTCCTCCTCTCTGCACACAAGACCCTCCCCGACAGGCAAAGACCCTATAGGCAAAGGTCTGGGGAAAGACCCAGAGCCCACCAGCTAGGAGCTGCTGAACTGTCCGGCTGAGGCCTGGAACATTCAGAATGTTTCCCCCTTTGCCCTGAGAAGAGAATAAACTCGGAGCAGTAAGATGAAAGTAATCAGGATGAAAAAGAAAAAGAACGAAAGTTGAGGGGGAGGAAGGAAAGCAGAATATAAGACCAGAATATAAGACCATCCAGAAGTAAGTCAGCCAAGATCGCCCCTAGGAAAAGCCAAGCACAACTTTAACCCTCAGCTCCATGAATGTAGCCCCTTGTCCCACTCCCGCTGATCCCAAGCACATGCCCCACTGATTCCTGGAGTGGGAGAACCAGAATAGAGCCCTGGGTTTCTCACCCCACTGGAAATGAGTTGATGGGCTGAACTTGACACCTGAGGTACCTGTTTCCACCTGGATTAGTGTGGCTCCCAACTTCCCACCTTCCCCTAGAGTTGGGGCTCCCTCTCCAAGACAGGCTTCACGCATGGGATAATTTCTTCCAACAAACCAGCAGTCAGCCCATGAAGAAAGATAGTCTGAGATAAAGATGCAGTGTAGAGAGCCCTCCGCTTTCACACAGAGGTGAAGATGCAGTATAAACAGCCACCCGCTCTAACACAAAGGTGAAGATGCAGTGTAAAGAGTCACTGCTCTAACACAGAGGTGAAAATGCAGTGTACACAGCTACCCACTCTAACTCAGAATTGAAGATGCAGTGTAGACAGCCACCCGCTCTAATGCAGAGGTGAAGATTCCATATAGACAGCCACCCGCTCTAACACAAAGGTGAAGATGCAGTGTAAAGAGTGACTGCTCTAACGCAGAGGAGAAGATGCAGTGTACACAGCTACCCACTCTAACTCAGAGTTGAAGATGCAGTGTAGAGAGCCACCCGCTCTAACTCAGAGTTGAAGATGCAGTGTAGATAGCCACCCGCTCTAATTCAGAGTTGAAGATGTAGTGTAGACAGCCACCCACTCTAACGCAGAGTTGAAGATGCAGTGTAGACAGTCGCTCCCCTCAGGCAGACTTCTATGACAGAGAAGGAAAGAAGGCACGCTTCCGCAGAAGCTCAAGTGTTCACTCGCTCACGCTTTGCCCTGCATGTGCCCACCACTGGGGACCCGCAGGGAGTCCTCTATCTTATACTGGCATCTGACACACAGCTGGTGACTGCACAGATGGAAAGGTCACAGGACAGCTGGCACCCGCGACAGCCCGGGTGCCCACTGGGACACCAGGAAGAAGAGTCAGCATTCCCTCCGGGTGGGCTGAAGCCCCGTTCAAGACAAGGTGATGGCAGCAACCCAGATTTTCCATCCTGATTTAAAAAACAAAAAACAAAAAAGACGCTGTCCAAGGATAAAGTTGAATATCTGGAAATGTTACCTATGCACTTTACTCAAATCAACTTGTAAACCCAGAAACGCTCATTTGGTTAAAAAGCAGAACATAATTTATGCCAAAGGACAAGGAGACACTGTGATGTCTCTGTGAAGGATGAAGGCAGGAACTAGATCATGGAGGGAAATTCTAGGCTCTGGGCTTGGACGATCATCTGTCTTTCTAAGAGAAAGGCGAGGTGAGTTTCTACCACCAAGTTTGCGAGACACCATTTGAGGAATGCAGTTCATTTCCTCCAACCCGAGGATGCCATCACCGGCTGGAGACAGACAAACTACACTGAAGCACAACTATAGACACGGAACCATGGAAATCTATCCTAAGTCCAAAGCAGCGGTTGGGTCTGGTCCAGCAGCACACAGGTGGCCCAGGACGGTGCACTCAGGACACCAGCTCAGTCCAGTCACTCTCTTCTCGTCCATACTGCAAGAGAAGCAAGGAGTCACGTCAGCAGAAAAGCAAACAGTGCGATTTATATGTTAACTCATGCCAGCGGGAGTTGCACAGAAGGTTCTCCTCACTTCTAAACATTGAAAGCATAGTCCGGGCTTCATACAATAGCCAGGGTATGGGAACACTCATGTCCAACGACGGACGAATGATGAAGCTGTGGTCTTTATACACAATGGAATACTATGCAGCCATAAAAAGATGAACTCATTACTTGGTACTGGGACCTGTGGCGTTACCTTTCAGCGTATCTGTGATCTATGAGCAATCAGACCATGAGTCATCCCCTCATCATTTTACACAAACTGTTGTGAAAATAGACTTTCTGCTCTTTCTCTGTGCTCAGTTTTCTGGTTGTCTATTCAAGACTGATTTCTATAAATCTAAAATTCAAGTATATTCACACTATAAAGAAAACTCCAAGGGGAAAAAAAACCCAAGATAGAGAGAAGGGAGGGAGGGAGAGACAATTTCTAAGAGTCAGGAAAATGCGTGCACAGGGCAACGTGAAACCAGTTCCCCAGCCAGCATCGCTCTCGCAGCTGAACCCGTTTGCGGCCGATCCTCGGGACTCAGGAAGCACCCGGTCCTCAGCACTCTGTGGCTCACGTCTGGGTCCCCAGCGAGGGGCTCACCTGACAGGTCAGCATCACCTCAAGGACATGATGTCCACAGGGTATTTCCATTCCTGGGAAAGTGGGAGAGTTCGGTGGCCAGTGCACTCCCCACCACAATTCTGCCTGCAAGTCTTGTGTACAAGGTCAACGATTTCAGGGGCTGAGACCTGGCGAGCAAACACCACCTTCAGCCTGGGGAGCACCGGTGCTATTGCAAGGCCCCAGCAGTCCCTGGCAAGCACCGAGGTGGAGCACGTGAGCACTGCAACCAGATATGTGAACACCAGACCCAGATATGTGGCCACCACACACAAGGGGGTAGGACCCTTGATGATGACCAGGTGGAGGCAGCCCAGGGAATGGGAGGGAGCAGGAAAGGGCCTCAAGGCCTCCAGCTGCCGCTCACACCCCTCCTGGTGATTCTGCTGGGGGCCCAAATTGGAGAGTCGCTGCTCAAACAGCGCCCCCTTCAGAGAAAATTTTATATTCATGAACAAACTACTACGTTGACAAGCCCTGTGGATCTGAACAGCCACTCTGTTCCCTAAATGCCAAGTTCTTGGTCTTATGTCAGCATCCTGATTTTCATACTTCTTTGAAACAGTAGCAGCATTAATATGTACTTAGTTGTAGCTCTCTCGTGACTTTGTGACTTCACATAAAAATCACAGCACTCTGAGATGCATGCAAGAGATGTACTAAGACAGGGAACTCAGAACATCTGAACTCTGGCAGGTGACAATCAAACGCCACCTGGGTGGTGGATAATTCAAATAAAAATCTCAAGGCAGAGAGCTGGAGAGAGAGTACAGTGGGTAGGGTGTTTGCCTGGCGTGCAGCTGACCCTGGTTAAATCTTCAGCATTCCATGTGGTTCCCTGAGCCCCGCCAGGAATAATGCCTGAGTGCAGAGTCAGGAGTAAGCCCTGAGCTCCTCCGGGTGTGGCCCCAAACCAAATAAACAAACAAATGAAAGAGTGACAGGAGAATATTACAAGGCAAAGCTGATAGATTTGAGTCCAGAGAAGTTCGGTTCTTTCTCCCAAGACTGGTGTTCAGGAGGAAGGCAGGCGCCCAGGGACACAGGACAGGTGTCCTCACTCCAGTCAGTTGTAACACCCCAAGACTGGACCGGCCCGTGCCACCCCTCTCGCCCCCAACACGTGGCCAACACACTGAGGCTACCTCACTTGGTTCTTGAGGTATCCAAGGTGTGCTTAACACCAGATTCTCATGGGGGTGGTACTTGGAGGAACATTATTCGTTTACAGGAGAATGCTAGGGTGGCACTTAATTAACGGCAAGCTCCTGACTTCACCTCAAGGCAGAAATGGCCCCAGACTCTCACGTTCACCGGATCGTTCTAGTGAAGCAGGAGAATAATCTGCAAGGTGGTACTTCCTCTGCACAATGCTTACAACAACCAGCGGCAGTGCCACCCACAGGCACCTGCATGTCCCTCTTTTTCTAAGTCCTCAGAGGCTGGAGTGCAAGCGTGGCACCCAGGAGCTGTGGGTTCACTCCCCAGAACCACATTTCCTTGGGCACTGCCAGGTGTGGCCCCAAAGGCCCAATGGCAGGGGGAAGAGGAGGAGATTATATTTTACAATGTTCCTGACATTTGTTTGACGCCAAGTAACTTGGAGTCTCCTACAACATTTCTCCCCTTCTTTTAAATTTATCTTTCTCATTTCTGTCTTCACTTGGTTCCACAGAGAATCCTTAAGCCTACTTGGCTGAACCAATGGCGGCACTTACAACAGGACTGGCTTCTAATCTTGATGGAAATAAAATGGCATTTTACAGGAAGAAGTCCTTACCTGAATATCCGTCAGCTTGTCCAAGATCCGGCTTGCAAGCTTCGGCCCGTGGTCCATGGTGGGAATGTGGAGAGTCTGTGGGAGGAGAGCGGGTGGACCTCGCTGAGGCTGATCCTGTGCCAGGGACCAGGGCCCCCAATGTGCCACATGGCACCGGGTAGCCTGATCTCATACCCTGGCTCCCAAGCCAATGGGCCTCTCTTTTAGTGGAATCTACAAAGTCACCAGGATAGGTGATGGCTATGCTGATTTCTATGCTGGTGAGAAGCAAGTGATGGATAAAGGGAGAAGGGGTTTCTGATAGGCTGGCTAGACTTAGAGACCCTCCTAGAACTTTCCAGACCCTAGGCAGGCTAGGCTTTGAGACTCTTCCAGAACTTTCCAGAACTTTCCAGACCCTTCCAGAACTTTCCGAGCTCTTCTAGCATCAGGGATACCACACAAAAATTTCCCAACAGGGCTGGGGGCTCAAGCAAGCCTCAGTCTTCCCAAAAGCTGTGTCTATACCTTTTTCCTCTTCCCAACTAAATGCTGGCACAACCTCACAATGTTGGCATGGGGTAAATTCAGGGCTGAGAGATCTCATGCCCCAATTTTGTATGCTCGTGCCTGTTCATGCCCTAAGAGCTGGTGATGCTTCAGGGAGAGTCTCTGACCTCGCTTTTATTACCCTGCCTTGAGCATCCTGAGATGCACCCTTTGACTCTGAATAGTCTGAGTCAAGTCAGATTAATATTTTTACTTGAAAATGTTTTTTTTTAAATGAAAGACCTTTTAAACTTTACAGATGTCTTAAATAATGTTAACTTTAAGTGAAAACTCTCTGACTTAACAACCCAACCGTTCAAAAGCGGGCCATCGGGCTGGAGAGAGATGTTCAAAGGGTGGAGCTCAGTCTTTGTAAGGAATTCTGGGTTCCCGTCCCAACACCGCGTGGTTCCCGGAACGGAGCAGGGAGTAGCCCCTGAACACCTCTGGGTGGAGCCCAAAAAACAAGCTTAAAATGGCCCAGTGATTCATTACCAAGATGCTATCCTGAAAACAAGGCAAAAACCAAAGCTTTTCAATCAGCTATAGGTGGGATTCTATCAGAGGTCATTCCCGAAAAGCAAAGGAATCTGAGGCAAGGATGCACCCAACAATGAAATTATTTGGGGGAGGGCGGAAAGGGTCAATTCAATCAGCTAAGGAAAAATAATTATGACGCTGAACAACAACAACAAAAAAAACCATAAGTAAACTGTGAATAAAAGCCACAAAAGCATATTTAACAGTAATGAGTTTGACCAATCACCTTTTGAGAATGATATCTGCATGTGTATAAGTTACAGAGTTTTGGAGCTTTGTTGTGACGGAAAAAGCAAACTCACCAACAAGCAAGCAAGTGCCGAGCATATGGGAAATCTGATGAATGCCCTGCAAGTACGTTCCCCCACCCAACCACTAATTCCTCTGGAAGACTTTAGAAAGGCACCAGGTCTGTTTGGGGAAGCCCAGGAATAGCTCCCTGGCAGAGCACAGGATGTCTCCCACGGGCCCCGGGAGACATGGGCTGGTCCCAGTGGTCACCACCACCACGGCAATGGGCAGTTTTGACTTCAAAGAATTTTTGGAGTAGCCGGAAGGAGCACAGCAGGTTAGGTGCTTGCCTTGCATGTGCCTGAGCCTGATTCCATCTCCTGCACCCCATGTGCGGCCCCAAGCCCTGCCAAGAGCAAGCCCCTGAGCACAGAGAAAGGAGTAATCCCTGAGCACAGCTGGGACTGTGTCACAGCCCCCAAACAATAACAACAATAATAATGCAGTATTTTTAGGTCTTATAAAGCGGTATAAATAAGATTAATGAAGGAGTGGCTAATCCAGTGAGTTTTCCTCTTTGCCTCCTCCCCCATTTAGTTTTCTTTTCTTTCTTTCTTTTTTTTTTTTTTTTTGGTTTGGGGGACATATCTAGTGGTGCTGCTCCCCATGGCATATTGGAGATGCCAAAACCAGTAACAATAACTGGTCGCATTCCCCTGACCCTGAAAGAGCCTCTGATACGGCACCATTGGGAAGGACGAGTAAGGAGAGCCTGCTAAAAATCTCTGTGCTGGGATGAATGGGATGAACGGAGACGTTACCAGCGCCTGCTCGAGCAAATCAATGAACAACGGGATGATAGTGATACAGTGATCTAAGGGTGCTCAGGGCTTACTCGTGGCTCTGCGCTCAGGGACCTCCACTGGCCAGGCTCAGGGGACCCTAGGGGGTGCAGGGGACCAAACCCAGGTAGGCCAGTGCAAGGCAAGTGCCCTACGCGCTGTCCTGTCGCTCAGTGGCCAGAAGGGGGACAGCATCCCCGGAGATGCCCCGGCATGGGCAATTAGAGAGGGGCGTGGATCTCCGGACTTCTGGCCCCCAGGACGGGCAGTGAGACGTCGACCTACCTGGCCCTCGTACAGGATCTCGGAGACCGGGCAGACCACACAGGCGGTCCCGGAGCCGAACATCTCCCGCACCCGGCCGCCCTCCAGCGCCGCCGTCAGCTGGCCCATGGTCAGGTACCGCTCCGAGACCTTAAACTCCCCCTGCAACCAAGCAGACATGAGCGAACATTCTCTGAAGGCAAAGACCCCAGGACCAACTTCACCCGGAATCTTGCCCAGAGGACAAGCCACGCCCCCAGAACAGACCACGCCCCCACGGGACAAGCCACGCCCCCAGAGTCACGCCCATGGGAGAAACCAGGCCTCCAGGACCAACCACGCCTCCAGAACAGGCCACGCCCATGGGACAAGCCACACCCCCGGAACAGACCACGCCTCCAGAACAAATGATGCCCATAGGACAAACTACGGCCACAGAACCAGCCACGCCCACAGCACAGACCACGCCCACAGGATAAACCACGCCTATAGGAGAAGCCACACCCTCAGAACCAACCACGCCCCAGAACAGACCACGCCCCCAGGACAAGCCACGCCCACAGAGCCAACCACAGGGGGGGAAAAAAGCGCCCACAAAACTAAAGGACCCAGAATAAGCCACACCCATAGGATAAACCTCATCCACAGGACAGACCACGCCCACAGAGCCAATCATGCCCACAGAACCAACCACTCGCACAGGACCAGCCACGCCCACAGAACAAACCACGCCCACAGAACAAACCACGCCCACAGTTCTGGACTTCTGCTCCTGTTTCTAACTAGACCTGGCTAATTTTAAAGAGAAAGATAAGGGACCAGGGCATGGCTCAGTGGTAGAGCATTTGCTGTGCTTGTGTGAGACCCTGGATTTGATCCCTGACAGCACAAACAATAATAACAATAATAATAATAATAATAAAATACTCGAGATTAAGATGAGCATTTAATACAAATTCTCAATTGTTAAAATTGAAATCACAGGCAAGATTCAAAACATTACAATACCTCATGCTATAAAATGTCACAAAGTTAAGAAATTATGCCTGCAATAGAAATAAGGCTTTTTACAAATTTCAAATCTATCTCAGTCTGCAATTGCAATTATATGGTCCAGTGGTAAATAAATTCCAGAAAGTCAGCCAAGTTCACTGAAAACAAGCTGAATTCTATGTTCTGGAAAACGAAAAATAACACAAAACAAAACAGTCTCTTGTAAATAAACAGAATTGTTTTCACTGTGCTCACCGTTACTTATCTTTGGACAATTTCCCCGGTCTGGCAAGTAATGGTAACCCCCCACATGCCTCTTGGCATTTATGTCTCACTGTTTTAAAATAGCTTTTAAAATAAATTACAGCGAAGGAGTCAAGAGAACATTTCCTCCATAATAACCTATTTTTCATGCTAGCAAATCATTAGTGTGGGGAAGCTTTCCCACTTGCAACTTGTCATCAAACCTTCTGTACTTGGTTGATTTTTGTTTCCCCCTTAATACAACAAAAATTACTGAGCTTCGAAAATACATCCTTCCAACTGCAAACACATCTAGGACAGGGCAAGCTGTTTGAAATTATACCAACAGTTTGTAAATGTCAGCAGGCATGTGGCAGTTGGGTCTTGTCTACTTTGGGGTTTGGGGGGATTATTTATAGCCTGTTTCCTCTATATTCAAAGTCTCTTCCAGAGGAAACTGCTGGTTCATGCTGCTCGGAGCATGTGTTTCTAAACATGTGTCTAGCAGTCTTAGAGCCCAGCACTCAACACCTTTGAGGTGCCCCAGAGAACACTTAAACAAGGGTCAGTCGTTCCATCCAAAAGCGTCTGCCAGATAACCAGTTCACTCCATGTCCTATGTCTCATACACCCTGGCCTTTACCACAGGGATGAGGAAGTCTATAAATGTGTGTGTGTGTGTGTGTGTGTGTGTGTGTGTGTGTGTGTGTGTGTGTGTGAATCAGGGAGGCAGAGAGTTGCCACAGGGATGAGGAAGTCTACTTCTCTCCAGTGTTTTGATTTCAAAATAAACGTGTGTGTGTGTGTGTGTGTGTGTGTGTGTGTGTGTGTGTGTGTGTGTGAACCAGGGAGGCAGAGAGTTGCCACAGGGATGAGGAAGTCTTCTTCTTTCCAGTGTTTTGATTTCAAAATAAACGTGTGTGTGTGTGTGTGTGTGTGTGTGTGTGTGTGTGAGAGAGAGAGAGAGAGAGAGAGAGAGAGAGAGAACAAACTGGGGAGGCAGAGAAACAGGAAGGCAGCTAAACTAATCATGTTGTGTTAGTAAACATTTACGCATCCGTCAAACTCTTTCATTCTTATGCCAAGCACAGTTACACTGCAAGAAACAGGCAGAGGAGAACTCTGTCTCACGGCCACCTCACTGCAGACGTGAACAGTAAAAGCCTGCCTAGATGCAAACACAAACTAGAAGCCAGGGGAGCTGGTCGGGAAATGCCTTCTGGGCTGGAGACTGGGATTCCAGCCTCCTTCTTCCCCTCCCAGGAGAGCTGGCCAAACTGGTTTCTCTGTGTCCTCCCTAGAAACAATAGTTGCTCCAGAGTCTGCCAAGAGGAGTCAAATGAAATGGGGAGATTAGATAACCTGGGTTAGACCACGGGATTTTATCTCAACACTGAGTTAGCTTATTTGGACGACTGGTTCGTGTTTATGGAGGCGGCGGCAGGCGGCCAGGACCCACCCATGAGCGCGCCAGGTCCAGGATGCTCTGTCGAGTCACGCCAGGGAGGATGATGCCATCTAGCGGAGGGGTCGCCAGCTCTTCCTCTGTCAGGAGAAACAGGGGGAGAAGGTCAAGCTTAAGTCACAGCTAAGTTCCTTTTAAGCCCCCTCTGGCAACATTGCCAGGAGTACGACATGGATAGGGTTACTGTCCCACGTGGCCAAATTCCCTGAATCCACCTGCATGCCAAGGAGGTCCTGAGAGGCAAAGAAGACGTGAGGAAGGAAAAAAAAAAAAACACAAAGAAACGCTACTTGGAGCTGGAGCGATAGCACAGCGGGTAGGGCGTTTGTCTTGCACAGGCCGACCCGGATTCGATTCCCAGCATCCCATATGGTCCTCCGAGCACCGACAGGAGTAATTCCTGAGTGCAGAGCCAAGAGTAACCCCTGTGCATCGCCGGGTGTGACCCCCCCCAAAAAAAACACAGCCACTCATCAAATCATTTTCCATGTTTCCTTATCCAATGGAAAAGAATGTAAAAGAAACCGTTATCCCATTCTCTTTGGAAAAAAAAAAAAACACTGTCTTCCCGTTGTTCATCTCGGGAGCTTGCCGGGCTCTCCGAGAGGGGTTGAGAAATCGAACCCAGCTTGGCCAGGCTGGCTGCACGCAAGGCAAACACCCTACCACTGTGCTATCACTCCAGCCTAGTCAAACACAGTAACAACAAGTCTCTTTGGAAAAATTTTGAAAAATCCACATTAGGGGAAGAGCTGGTTTGTAATCAGATACCCGCAGAATTTCACTCAGGCCAGCAGGGTGGGCACTTGCTCTGCATGTGGCCCACCCGCTCCATCCCTGGCCTCACATGGATCCCATGAGCCCCGTCCGCAGTGATCCCTGACTACAGAGCCAGGCGTGGGCTCTGACACACTGGGTACAACCCAAGACAAAACTTTTTTTTTCCTTTAGGAACACGGTCACCTCCAAACCTCAGGACAGTGTGAGGAGCCCGTGCAGACGAGAGTGAGTTCCCAGAGCCTCAGTGTCTCCAGGGTCATTTGTGTGTGTATTGGGGGTCTGGGTGCCTGGGCCACACCCAGTGGTGCTCAGGGCTTGCTCCTGGCTCTGTGCTCTGGAATCATTCCTGGCAGGGCTCTAGGGACCATATGTGGTGCCAGGGATTAAAAAGGCATGCAGAACTACCTCCCCAGCCTCAGGGTCTTTTTATTTTTTAAGATTCTTTTTTTTTTTTTTTGGTTTTTTGGGTCACACCCTGTGATGTACAGGGGTTACTCCTGGCTTTGCACTCAGGAATTAGTCCTGGCAGTGCTCAGGGGACTACATGGAATGCTGGGAATCGAACCCGGGTCAGCCACATGCAAAGCATACATTCTCCCTGCTGTGCTATCCCTCCACACACACCCCCCAGGGTCATCCTTACCCATATGCCTCCAATATTTCCCATGGTGGCCATGCCAGTCACATGCAAACAGAACGCTAATCCTGGGTGAGTCTTTCAAAGGAACTTCAAAGCAGGTATTTCAAAGGGGAAATAAATCCAGCAAACCAAAACTCCATGGGCAACCTACTGGGAGCCGGGGACAGGGGTGCTGACACCTGGGGGCTGCTGGCCTCCCTGAGGGCCAATATCTGCTCCTCCACTGCTCCCAAGACCCACCACCACCTGTCACTCACTCTCTCTGAAGACAGGGACCTTTAGCTGGTGAGGGTGGCATACAGTTGACAGGAATTAAAGGCCATTAGGAAGCCTCACCCCATGTCTTGGGGTGCCCTCCATTTCATCCTGGGGACCTTGAACAGCTCTCACCATTCTGGGGTGGGGACTCACCTAGCAGTGCTCAGGGATCATTCCCGGGGGTACTTGGGGTGCACTGTGTGGAGCCAGGGATCAAACTGGGGCCAGCAGGGTGCAAGAGTAAGTGCCTCCCCGTGTTATTTCTTCAGCCACTCTCTCTCGTCTTATTATATTTTATTTATCTCCATTTTTTTAATTAGTGAAACACCATGAGGTACAGCTATAGACTTACAAACTTTCGTGCTTGGATTTCAGTTATATAATGATGGAGTGCCCATCCCTCCACCAGTGCCCATTCTCCACCCCCAATGATCCCAGTAGCCCTCCCACCCCCCACTCATCCCTCCCACCCCAACCTGCCTCTGTGGCAGGGCATTCCCTTTTGCTCTCTCTTTCCTTTAGGGTGTTGTGGTTTGCAATAGAAGTATTGAGAGACCATCATGTTCGGTCTATAGTCTACTTTCAGCATGCATCTCGCATCCCGAGCAAGTCCTCCAAACACCCTTTACTTGGTGTTCCCTTCTCTATCTGAGCTGCCTTTTCCCCCAGCATGTGCTGCCGGCTTCCAAGCCATGGAGCAGACAGACCTCCTGGTACTTATCTCAACTGTTCTTGGGTGTTCGACTCCAATTCTGTTACTTTATATTCCCCAGTTGAGTGCAGTCTTTCTATGTCTGTCCCTCTCTTTCTGGCTCATTTCACTTAGCATGATGCTTTCCATGTAGAACCACTTGTAAGTAAATTTCCACAGAGGCTGGCCCACATCCAAAAGAACAAAAGCAACCAGTGCTGGCGCAGATGTGGTGAGAAAGGGACCCTCCTTCACTGCTGGTGGGAATGCCAACTGGTTCAGCCCTTTTGGAAAACGGTATGGACGATTCTCAAAAAATTAGAAATTGAGCTCCCATTTGACCCAGCAATACCACTCCTGGGAATATAACCCGGAGAGGCAAAAAAGCACAGTCAAAATGACATCTGCACTTCTATGTTCATTGCTGCACTATTCACAAAAGCCGAAATTTGGAAAAAACCCGAGTGCCCGAGAACAGATGACTGGTTAAAGAAACTTTGGTACATCTACACAATGGAATACTATGCAGCTGTTTGAAAAGATGAAGTAATGAAATTTTGTTTGTTTTCGAGCTATACCAGTGGCGTTCTGAGCTTACTTTTGGTGTGCTGGGGGACCACAGGTAGTGTCAGGGATTCGAACCTGAGTCTGAAACGGGACAGGGAAGCTCCCTACACTGTCTGTCCTGGCTGCCACACTCACCTATTCTAAAGAGAGTGAAGGCCATCCTGAGGCCCTGAGCATCACGGACACACCACCCTCAGTGACTTGGGGACAGTCAAGACCAGCGTGTCAGGGACCGACCTTGAGGTACTTTCCCATAGCTGGACACGTGGACATCAAGGCACACCTACTTCCGGGGCCCCAAAACCACACCCCAACCACCCAGCCATGAGAAAACATGGGGGTCTCTGTTCCTTCCAGCTCCCTCCAGACTCAGTACCCGGTCCACAGGGGTATGTTAGGGAAAAAAAAATGACAATGTTAAAGACAATATTTTTGAATATAAAATAAATTCATAATCCTCTTTTCTCGGCTACAGCTCTATGACTTGGAAAACTCTGGTCTTGAAAACTCATCTGCTGAAAACGCGTTCTGGAAAGAAGAGGACTTTGTGCTTGGCAACCTCTCAGGGCTACTTTTTTGTCATATTTAGAAGTGTTGATCTCAAAACAAGCCTGTGTTTTTGCAAGACGCTGCTGGATACAAGAGGGCCTGGATCTCTCTGTGTGTACACACACACACACACACACACACACACACACACACACACACACACACGGGGACTCGCTGGGCTGCAGGACTCCTTGGAGACAGCGGGCCCCACCCGGGCAAAGGCAGCTTTGTGAAAGATAGTTGACACCCAACACTGTAACCACTAGCCCCAGGTCAAGGAACAGAACATCTGCTTCTCTGGTTGCCAGACAGGCATGATGACATGAGAACATTCGGGTGAGAAATATTCATTTTCCTCTGCAACCACAAACACGCTCGCCGCGGCCAGAATGAGCTCCAGATTGCCCAATGCGGGCAGACAAGCGCCGGGCGCAGCTTGCTCTTGACAGAGGACTCACGGCAGGGGCCGTGGGGTTTAGAAGCCGTCACAGAGGGATTCACTGCCACATGCCAGCGCAGAGCACTAATGGAAACCAGGCACCGGGCAGGGGCGGCCCAAGGGCCCCCCGTCACTGTCAGCACAACTATTCGTGGATCCGACATCAGATCCACATGCAGTGCCTGCCGCATGCAGGCTGCCGGCCCCACGTCTGGTTCCAACCGTCAGGAGCTCCCGGCTGACTGTCTGGAGGCAGAAGCAGACGTTCAGTGGCGGGCTAGTGTCCAGGAGAAGAGTGGGGAGAGGGGGACGCTGGGGGGAGGGGGCGTGCGATCTATGGAAAGGGGGTCTTATCAAGAAATAGAAAACCTCCCTGGGGGAGAGTTCTGGGCAGCTGGGAGGACCATGGTGGACATGGCGGCCTCTCCGTCTGGGCCCTAAGCCCTGCCCCACCCTGGGAACTTGGGCCCAGTGAAAAAGGAATGCACCTTTCCAACACCGAGAGTCACGGGGTTCAAACCCAACACCGCAAAGTCCCGTGAGCACTGCCAGAAGCAACCCTCGAGCACTGAGCTAGGAGAAAACCCCAAGCACCGCTGACGGTGGTTCCTGCAAAGAGCAAGAACTGGGTGCTCATGTCGCTGAGCTCGCCGTTGCTGGATCAGAGTTACTAGCCCCAGTTGCGGCCCAGCCTTTCCGGGGCAGACACAGCGCCACTGGGTTCTTCTCTCCTGTTTCGGCCCATCACGGGAGCCAAGCCTGGGTCTGGGGAAGAGGCCGTGGAAATCTTGAACCCTCTACCTGGTTTAGTGAAAACCCAAGTTTTCCCCAATTTCACCCTCATTTTCTTGAGGCCGTAAAAATCAAAGCTTTGCTGGAGTTACTCCCCTTTGGTTTTCAGCTCTAAGGTTATTCCCAACATTGCACTGAACAAACACCATTCCAGTCCCCTGCTCCTGACTTCACATTTTGTTTGGAAGGAGGACACACACGCGAAAACTCAAGTGGCCCGTGCAGCCTCCATCTGACATTTAGGTGCTTGCCTTGCAGGACGCCAACTCCAGTTCGATACCCAGTACCCCATATGCACCCCTTCCAATCCCCACCAGGAATGGTCACTGAACACAGAGCCAGGAATAAGTCCTAAGTACCACAAGTGTGGCCCAAACAGGAAAAGAAAAGAAAAGAAAAGAAAAGAAAAGAAAAGAAAAGAAAAGAAAGAAAGAAAAAGAGAAAGAAAGAGAGAGAGAAAGAAAGAAAGAAAGAAAGAGAGAGAAAGAAAGAGAGAAAGAGAAAGAAAGAAAGAAAAAAGAGAGAGAGAAGGAAGGAAAGAAAGAGAGAAGGAAGGAAAGAAGGAAAGAAAGGAAAGAAAAGAAAAGAAAAGAAAAGAAAAGAAGAAAAGATTCAATTGCAGCCACATTAACTCTAAAGGTGGTGACTTATTTCGAAAGTCAGAAGACAAATTCTCTCCTCCATCTCTGACCTTAAAAGCCCTGGTGGAAATGGTCCAGAATTTTCGTTTAGATGAAGAGCCTTTTCCCACCATGACTGTTTCTGGTGTTTCTGGTTAAAGCATGGAGCTTTGATGCCAATGGAGCTGAAATCCTGTCACCATAAAGAATAATGTTGGCACTTCTGTTCTGCCTCACTGTTTTGCTTTGGGGTTGTGTTTTGGGAGTGGGGGTTTCGGGGGAAGAAGGAGCAGGAAGTGGGGAGACTGAGGTGAATCGACCTCACTGTGCAGAGCCCACCAGCGTCATCTTCCAAGGTGGGTCTTTGATAAAGGCAGTGACTCAGCTTGGGAACCCACAAAAGAAAGAAAAGAAAAAATTCAATTGCAGCCACAATAACTCTAAAGGTGGTGGGTTAAAATGTTGGTCACCAGTGGTGCCAAGTCCAAGCAGGAGGGATAAAGGCTGGGCAGGGTGTGATGGGATTAACAATCCATCTACACTCGCCTTCTCGTCTTATGAGTCAACAACATTCAGGGCACCCCAGGGCTGAGTCTGCCCCCGCGGAAGCACCGCTTACCTCCCGTTCTCACCAAATGACCCAAGGCCACCAAGGCTACTCAAGCTGCTGTACAATATAAATGTCATTGAAAAACGTATTTGTCAGGTGGAGAGATAGAACGAGGGTTAGGTGCTTGCCTTGCAAGGGGCCAACTCCAGTTCGATCCCCAGCACCACATATGTACCTGCGCCGCTCCCCACCAGGAATGCGCTGGAGTAAGGAGTAAGGAGTGCTCTGGAGGCCAGGAGTAAGCCCTGAGTGCCACGGGGTGTGGCCCAAACATAAAAAAAAAAAAGAAAGAAATCAAATTTCAGTCCATTTTAAGACCCTGTAAGTATTTGGAAACTTGCTGTTCTACATTTGAGTTTCTACACTCGGTGTTCTGGTGTGAAATGCCGAAGAAGGTCAACAAGGCTTTTGAATGCTCTGGCTATTAAAATCTCGATGGAAATGAGTGCCTATGTCTGCATTACCCCCATACTGGATATTCAACCTCATACATAACCTGGGCACTGAGAGCACCTGAATCCCCATGGTAGAAAGAAAGAAAGAAAGAAAGAAAGAAAGAAAGAAAGAAAGAAAGAAAGAAAGAAAGAAAGGAGGGAGGGAGGGAGGGAGGGAGGGAGGGAGGGAAGAAAGAAGGGAGGGAGGGAGGGAGGAAGGAAGGAAAGAAAGGGAGGGAGGGGAGGGAGGGAGGGAGGGAGGGAGGGAAGAAAGAGAGAAAGAAAGAAAGAAAGAAGAAAGAAAGAAAGAAAGAAAGAAAGAAAGAAAGAAGGGAGGGAGGGAGGGAGGGAGGGAGGGAGGGAGGGAGGGAGGGAGGGAGAAAGAAAGAAAGAAAGAAAGAAGAAGAAAGAAAGAAAGAGTGAGGAAGGGAGGAAGAGAGGAAGGAAGGAAGGTAGGAAGAAAGGGAGAGAGAAAGGAAGAAAGAAAGAAAAAGAAAGAAAGAGAGGAAGAGGAAGAGAGAGAAAGAAAGAAAGAGAGAGAGAAAAAGAAAGACAGAAAGAAAGAAAGAAAGAAGAAGAAGAAAGAAAGAAAGAAAGAGAGAGAAGAAGGAGGGAGGGAGGGAGGGAGGGAGGGAGAGAGGGAGGGAGGGAGGGAGGGAGGAAGGGAGGGAGGGAAAGGAAGAAAGAAAGAAAAAGAAAGAAAGAAAGAAAGAAAGAAAGAAAGAAAAGGAGGGAGGGAGGGAGGGAGGGAGGGAGGGAGGGAGGGAGGGAGGAAGGGAGGAAGGAAGGAAGGAAGGAAGGAAGGAAGGAAGGAAGGAAGGAGAAAGAGGGAGAAAGGAAGGAAGAAGAGGGAGAAAGGAAGAGGGAGAGAGAAAAAGCGCATTTAGGACATTGAAGAAAATAAAGAAGTATGGCTCACTTCAATAGCAGACAAATATTAACAATCTTGAATGACCCAAGAGCAAACTACCATCCAAAATAGACCAATCTGTCCTTAAAAAGAGTGAGCTTTCATCAATCTGAGCTCGAAAGGAAACCGCCTGATGGATGATCAAAATTACATAGGCAAGGCAACAACTGCTAAAAGAATTACAGCATCAAAGTCCTTAAATGCCAGCATTGATTCGATCACTGTGTTCAACAGGCGACCACCGTGAGTCACTCACCGAGTGTGCAGCGGAAGACTATCGCCCTGACCTCACTCACCCCAAACACAGGGGATTGCAGACAGGAAAAAATGTTAATAAGACAGCAAAGAGGATAAGGTCGCCAATCTCCAAACATGCGATTGGAATTCCTGAAGCTGGCGTCTCAATAGGAGGCTCAGGGAGAGCTAAATCCTTCCCAGAGCATGAGAATGGAGCTCCCGTCTGCTTGCCCACTAAACACTGCAGTTCTGTATTACTTCTGCTCTCACTCTAAGCCCCAGTGCCTTTCCTCCCAGTCCCCAGAAAATATCCCAAATAGCAGAGATGGTTGGACAGGTAGTTTCATGAACACAGTGCATGCCTTGGCCCTGGCTAACCTATGTTCAGTCCCCAGCATCACACAAGGGCCCCAGAAACACACCAGGAGTGGGCTGGAGCGATAGCACAGCAGGTAGGGCGTTTACCTTGCACACGGCTGACCCAGGTTCGATTCCCAGCATCCCATATGGCCACCGAGCACCGCCAGGAATAATTCCTGAGTGCATGAGCCAGGAGTAACCGCTGAGCATTGCCGGGTGTGACCCAAAAATTAAATACATAAATAAACACTCCAGGAGTGACCCCTGAGCACCCGAAGTGTGGCCCCCAAACAAAGCAACCAAACAAAATGGCAAAGGACTGCAGTCTGAGAGGATTACCTCCATCTTCGTTGATCCAGTAGAGAAAAAGATTCATGGTTCCAACCTCGGTGATCTGATTGTCCCTCCCCATACAGCCACAGGACCTGCTGGCAACCGTTCTCGGCCGCCTCGCATTGGGCGAACAGAGAGGACGCATAGTTCCTTTCAAGAAAGAGAGCACAGTGATGATGAGGACCCTTGAGTCGGAGGACTAAATGTCTTTAACTGACATGGGAGTTGATGGATGGATACACACTCTCTCTCTCTCTCTCTCTCTCACACACACACACACACACACATTCTTTCCCCTCTCTCTCCCCCCTCTTTCCCTCTCCTCTCCCTCTCTCCCTCACTCTCTCCTTCCCTCTCTCCTTCCTTCCTTCTCTCTCCCACCCTCCCTTCCTCTTCTCTCTCTCTCTCTCTCTCTCTCTCTCTCTCTCTGCAGAGCATTAAAGGAAAACTTGCTATTGACCCTAAAAGATCTCACTACACTCCCTTTGGTGAAAGAGCAAAGTAAAATGTTGGCGGCGTCCTCATTTGGAAGGTAGTAATGCAGAAACACAGGGAGGAACTGAAGCTATGGCAGAGCAGGAAGGCGCTTGCCTTGCATGCATCCACCCAGGTTCGAGATCTGGTACCCACATGGTCCCCCATGCCCTCCAGGAGTGATCCTTGGGCACAGAGCCAGGAGTGAGCTCTGAACATCACATGACGTGACCCACCTCCAAACAATAAAACCAGAAATACAAAGAAATATCCCACTGAATGCCAACAGTTCAAAGTTATTTAGATTCGGGTTTTTTTTTTAAAACATACCCATAGCACAGCGGTAGGGGCATTCGCCTTACAAGCGGCCAACATGGCCGACCTGAGTTCGATTCCTCCGCCCCTCTCAGAGAGCCCGGCAAGCTACTGAGAGTATCTCGCCCGCACGGCAGAGCCTGGCAAGCTCCCCGTGACGTATTCGATATGCCAAACACAGTAACAACAAAGTCTCCAATGGAGACATTACTGGGCCCACTCGAGCAAATCGATGAACAACGGGAGGACCATGACCATGACTGTGAACATACCAACCAATTTTTCACAAACATTTCATCCAAACTCTATTTTAATGTCTGACACCAAGTATACCTATTTTCATGGTTCGGATGACAAACACAGGCTTAGAGAAGCGACATCAGGGTCAGAGAAGCAAGTGAGCAACAGCAGGGAATCTCTTTATCACTCACTCTTCCAGACATCCAAAAAAACATTTCACATCCAATGTCAAAATTCTCCTGAGTGACCCAAAATGTTGCAACCCCTGACCATAGCCCCAAGCCTGTTTGCCCTTGCAATTGTGACTGGTGTTGCCATAGCCAGGGGGAGTGTATGTGTGTGTGTGCGTGGGGGGGGAGGGAGGGGATGGTGTGTGTGTGTGGTGTGTGCGTGTATGTGTGTGTAGTGTGTGCGTGTGTGTGGTGTTGGGGAGAATCACATGCTTGTCTGAGCAAAGGCGACAGCAAGGGCCATGCTAGGAATCAACATCCCCCGATGGGGCCGCTCAACCATGATGCCCCATCCTGGGCCCCTTAACCAGAAGGTTCTTGCACATCTGCTACCCTCACCCGCGCTACCCGCTGTGAATGACTCAAAGCCAGAGGGACATGGCACACCTTCCTCTTCCTGGAATCAAAGGTTAGCTTAATCACTTGATCACTTGACATCCCGTTATTCATCGATTTGCTTGAGTGGGCACCAGTAACATCTCCATTCATCCCTGTCGCATGCTAGTGTAGCCCAATGGCATCTGCTCGTTCTAGGAACACGAAGAGCCTCAAACCAATCATTCAGGGTCTTGACGAAGAAGTCTGGCCATCTGGTAGGTGGGCGGTCACGCGATCTTTTGATGTCCCATGGAATCCAGTTGGTAATGGCTCTAGTCCAGCGGTCATCTCCAAATCACATTACGTGTCAGGCCCATCTGATTTTTGACGCCTTGGAAAATGAGACAGCGTCCCTGATTCTTGACTGTCAACGGAGGTTGGAACTCTGGATTCTTTCTCTCATTTGAGTAAGGCGGGTTACTCCAGGCATAGCTTTTTCGATTCCTCTTTGGGACACCCAAATAGCATTCTCATTCTGTTTTCATAGGACTCAGGTCTCTGAGGCGTATGTTAATGTAGGAAGAACAGTGGAATCAAAGAGATGTTCCCAGAGCCGGAGGTTCTTCATCCTTTTAGATATTTTTTCGACGTTCTTGAAGGTGTTCCAAGTCACTCTTTTCCTCCTGCGCAACTAGGGTGCCAGGTCATTTGTCATGTTGACTTCTCGACCCAGGTATATATAACTGTTGCATTTGGAGATGGTCATTCCATTGAGAGTGAATGGAGCATCAGGAACGAGGCTGTTTTTCATAAACATTGTCTTTGTAAGATTCAGCTGTAGTTCGACCTTTCCACACTCACGGTCGAAGTTGGCCAGCATTTGTGCCGTTTGGCTAATGTTTGGTGTTATTAAAACAATGTCATCAGCAAAGCGGAGATGGTATAGTTGCCGACCATCTATCTTCACTCCCATTCCTTCCCATTCTAGTCGTTGCATGACATTCTCAAGGGTGGCACTGAAGAGTTTCAGTGAAATGGTATCACCCTGCTGAACCCCTCTCTTGACATCAATGATCACCTCCCTGTACAATGGTGAGATCCTGGTAGTGAATCCTCAATACAGCTCATGGAGGATCCTGACGTATTAAGTTTGAACGCCCTGTTTGGCTAGGGCTTGGATGACTGCTTCCATCTCAACAGAATCAAAGGCCTTCTTTAAATGGTTAGCTTAATAATAGCTCTATTATCTCTTACTAAATTGAAATGGAAAACATATGGAGTCTAGTACAAACTATGAAAGAGTACTTTACTTTTTATCTTGGAGGGGTTTTGGGGGGGGGGTCCAATTCTGGTGCTGCCTGGGGGTGCGGGGGTACTCCAGGCTCAGTGCAGAGGGGACCATGTGGTACCAGGGATAAAACTTGGATCTTAGATCTCCAACACACGAAGCTGCACTTTGAAGTGACCTCCCTGGCTTAAAAGAGGGGCTCCACCATGGAAACCTGGGCGTCCCCGAAAGCCACCATCCCGGTTGCCTCCCTGACCACTCAGCTTTCAGGACTATGCCAACAAGTTTGAAAAGCAAGAATACGAGGCAGGGCTGGCAGTGGAAGCCTCGACTGAAAATATACAGAAACTGTGACATATACGGAAATCAGCAAACAGACTGTTGGAAGCTATTTTCTGTGAAGTCCCCAACAAGGCCTTCTAAACCAACTTCACATCCAGGCAAGATGAAAACGTGTCCTCTTGTCCGAGTAAAGTGGAAGCACAGAACTACGAACTACAGCGGCTTTCTGCCCCTCTTCACACTTTCTCTTCGATCCTTTTCGCGGAAGCAAGTCAGTCTGGTTGACAGGTTGACAACCGCGGCATCTTGCCTTATGCGACTTGCATTTTAACTGCGGTGACATTCCACTACTATACTGCGTCGTTAAAAACCCACATGCAGAGAGAGCACTTTATTTCACCACGAAACACCCAAACCTCCTTCACCTTCCACAGACCCTCTTTAACTAATCTGCCTCCCCGCCTCCCACTCTCTGTAAAAACCACTAACTTGGTTCTATAATAAGGTTTGTTTAGCTGCCTCTAGGTCCTGCGCTTGGTGGATTTCGACAGGCTGCAGATGACTGAGACTACGGGATATTTGTCCTTAACAGAAGCGATGCAGGGGATTGAACGGGGCCTTCCGGCTGGATCCGTTTTGAACCAACGCTTGTGAGTGGTGTTAAGGATTGGTCGCGTTTCTGTCTTTCACCTACAGCCGTCCAGTTTTCCCACCCCCTCTAACGAGAGACATTTTCTTACTGCAGTGTCTGGCTAAGGTTCTTTCACCAAGAATTCACTATCCATGTATGTGTGGGCTTATTTCTGATTTTTTTTTCAATTTTGTTACATTGATCTGAGTAACAATCCCATGACTTAAAAAAAAATTATCGAGGCACCATGATTTACAGAACAATTCAGAATTGCATTTTTACTATGGCTTAAGGCACTGTTATAGTAGGGTTTCATGGTTCTCCAAGCACTTAGCTAGGAGAAGCCCCCAAACACTACCAGAAATGAATAAACACCCTCCCGACAAAAAAAAAAAAAAACTTCCAAGATAAAAATAAAGTACTCACTGATATTTTGTACTACACTCCGTGTTTTTCATTTAAGTAAAGTAAGTAAGTAAAGGCCCTCCCGTTGATCATCGATTTGCACGAGCGGGCCCAGTAACGTCTCCATTGGAGACTTTGTTGTTACTGTGTCTGGCATATCGAATACTCTCGGTAGCTTGCCGGGCTCTCCGAGAGGGGCGGAGGAATCGAACTCGGGTCGGCCATGTTGGCCGCGTGCAAGGCAGACGCCCTACCCGCTGTGCTACCGCTCCATTTTTTTCATTTAAATTTAATAAAATATAAATTATTTCAATTGGATGACTATTGATGTCTTACCAGATCTGAAAATAGCAATTTCAGAGTACTGAGAGTCTGTTTCTAAGAAAGGTTTTTGGGGATTGAAGAAATAGTACAAAAGTGAGGGCACTGGCCTTGCATGCAGCTGACCCCAGCTCAATCCCTGCCACCATATATGGTTCCCCCGTGACCACCAAGATCGCTGAGCACTGAGCTAGGAGTAGATCCTAGCACCAAAAGAAACCAAAACATTGGCTGGAGCGATAGCACAGCGGGTAGGGCGTTTGCCTTGTATGCAGCCAACATGGCCAACACTGGTTCGATTCCCAGCACCCCATATGGTCCTCCGAGCACCACCAGGAGTAATTCCTGAGTGCATGAGCCAGGAGTAACCCCTGAGCATCGCCAGGTGTGATCCAAAAAGCAAAAAAAAAAAAGAAACCAAAACAAAGGAGTTTTCACTGTATTCAGCCTTTCTAAGGAAGTTCTACACACACATTCTCTCTCTCTCTCTCTCTCTCTCTCTCTCTCTCTCTCTCTCTCTCATCCCTCTCTCTCTCACACACACACATTCACACTTTGAGAGGAAAACTCAACTAAAGCCTTTGCTAGCCGGAGAAGAAAAAGGGAGGGGTGAAGGCTGTGTGGCTTTACTGCCACCAGAGGAGGAGGACTCTGCTTGCCCGGCGTCTGAATCTGGGCAGAAACATGTTCCCAAGGCACAGCTGCTATTCCAACGCAGTTTTTCCACACACACACACATCAGGTGCACATGTCATGTGTACACATCATGTGTATATGTGCCGCAGACACTCACCCTCCCATCTTGCAGTGCCCGGTGCCGCCTTTCCAGGCCCGGATGTACTTCGGGTTGGCCCACAGCGACACGGGATTAAAGGTTCCACTGGCAAAATAAGGTCCCACGGGGCTCAAGATGACGAAAATCAGGGCTTTGGTCGGCTTCTTGACCCCGAGAGAAGGCTGCAGGGAGAGAGAGCAGAAGCAGCTGTGGGGAGCTGGGGACTCGCCATATTCGCCCTCCCCCGGGGAGCACCTGCCCAAGGAGTGTGGAGCGAGGGGCTCGTGAGACAGTGGTGCTCTGTGAGTGGGCTTCGGAAGCTCGGCTTGGGAGCACAGCCCAAGGAGCACCCAGGAGAGAAGCCAGAGGCCAGTTGGGGTCCTCGCTTCTCCCCTGCTGCTTCTGGGTGGCTCAGGCAGGTGGAAGGAAGGACAGCGCCCCCCGGAGAGGGACAGGCCCACAGATGCAGAAAATCAGAGACAGCCCCGGGGGGAAGAGGGGCTGGTCTCACGCACACAAGGAAAAGACACTGGCAGGGAAGCAAGAGGCTGCCAGGTTTCCGGAGGGCCGTGGGCCGCCAAGGCCAAGGGCAGCCAAGGCCAAGGGCAGTCTGGACTACCCATGCAGGGCAAAGCCCTAAGGAGCAACAAACCCGGCAGCTGCATCAGTCAGCAAATGCCACAGGGAAGGTTCAAGTCCCCTCATCGGCAGAGCCTACCCGGCTGGCGGAGTCAGTGGTGGAAAGAGGGGATGAGAAAAAGGAGGCGGCTGGTCCCGCTGGGTTGAGAACCTCCAGTAAGGTTTGATGGAATGGCCTGCCCGTGGCCTTGGGGCGCTTTCTCTGAATGTAAGCGTGCCCTCCCCACCGGCCCGCCCCACCTCCCCTCCAATCTCCTGGCCCAATGCGCTCCACCAGCTGTGCCCCTGCCATCAAGAATATGGAGCCACTGCCATAGGACAGCGGGGAGGGTGTCTGCCTTGCACGCGTCCATCCTGGGTTCAATCCCTGGCATCCCGTTTGGGCCCCTGAGCATCACCGGGAGTGAGTGGTTCCAGAGAACAGAGCCAGGAGTAAGCCCTGAGCACCGCCAGGTGTGGACCTCCCCACCAAAAAAATTAATAAAAGCATCAGGCCAGTGCAATTCTGCTGTTTCCATGCACTCAGAGAAGGGTCGTTGACCACACAGCGTCAGATGGGGAGGAAGGAGCCACCACCCACAGGATCCTGGCCACGGGCAGCTGCCGGTCACCTGTCCCAGGACACTGCACCTGCAGGCTGCTCTCACCCTTCTTCCTCATCACACCTCAGCCAGATGGTTCCAAAGGATGTGTCCATGAATCTCTCTTCCCAGAGTTCATGAAGGTTGACTTGTTCATCTCTGCACGTTTTTTTTTTTTATTTCTGGCTCACATCTGGCGATTATTATCAAGGGTTCCTCCTGGCTCTGCACTCGGGAATTACTCCTGGCAGTGCTCAGGGGGCCATATGATATATACGATGCCGGGGACAGAACCCAGGTCAGCCGCATGCAAGGCAAATGCCTCCCCACAGTCCTATCCTCCGGCCCTGTACCCTTTGTAAACCTATCTGTTCAGTAATACTGGTGCTTTTGGTTTCTTTCTTTCTTTTTCTTTTTTGTTTTTTATTGAATCCCTGTGAGATACAATCACAAGATTCCATGTTTGAGTTTCAGTCATACAATGATCCAACGTCCATCCCTCCACCAGTGCACATGCCCCTCCACCAATGTCCCCAGCATCCCTCCTTCCACCCCTCCCCCTGCCTCCATGGCAGACAATTTCCCCCATACTCTCTGTACTTTGGGGCTTTATGGTTTGAGACTTAGACTGAGTTTTTGTTTGTTGTGTGGCGGGGGAGGGGGGAAGGTCACATTCAGCAGTGCTCAGGGCTTACTCCTGGCTCTGTGCTCAGGGAGCACTCCTGGTGGTGCTCAGGGGACCATGTGGAGTGCGAAGGCTCCAATGTGGATCAGCTACATTCAAGGCAAGTGCCCTACCCACCGTGACATTGCCGGCGCCCCAAGACTGTAAATTTTTATAGACCATTCTAGTGGCAAACACCAAGACACTTCTCAAAATAATTTAGAAATACAATACGCAGAACACAGTAGGATAATTATGAAGATTACGTTCTAAACATGTGTACATTCTAGTAGTCCAACATGAATGCCTGAACTTTTACTTTTCTTTTTTTTTTTTTTCGCTTTTTGGGTCACACCCGATGATGCACAGGAGTTACTCCTGGCTTTGCACTCAGGAATTACTCCTGGCAGTGCTCATGGGACCATATGGGACGCTGGGAACCAAACCCGGGTCAGCCGCGTGCAAGGCAAACTCCCTACCCACTGTACTATAGCTCCAGTCCCTGCCTGAGCTTTTTAAACTTGGCTCATATATTTTTTGAAATCTTCATCATGGTAAAACACACACACACACACACACACACACACACACACACACACACACACACACATCTTATCAGAGATATTTTTCTTGGCTCTCTTTCTCCACTCTGATAGAGAAATTCGCGTTTCCTCCACTAGGTGGCAACATAGAAAGCGCCGGTGGAAAAGGAAGAAATTCTGAATTCTGTGCGTTCAATCTATTTGGGGGGGATGGGCGCGGGGGGGTCTCAAAAACCCTCCAAGAGATATGTTTATCTAAACAAACCAGCAAAGTACAAAGATTTTTTTTTTTGTGCGTTTGTTTGTTGTTGTTTTAATGAGGAGAAGTGGGTGGATATGTACTAACATCTGCTAGCTGAAATCATTCACGTTTTACAAACCCACCAGGCTCTGGCTGGGCAGGGCTGATGGCGTCACCCTAGGTGGTTCATGACCACTGTCTCTCCCTCCGTAAAAGAGGCGCTATGACTGCGCTGAAAATACCCACATGCTTCAAGAGCAGAATAAAAATGTGTAGCCCGGGACTGGGACTTCTCTTCAGTCCTACAAAATAATACTGGGGGAAATACTTAAACAGAGAAAGAGAAAGGAGGGAGAGAGGGAGAAAGGGAGAAAAATAGAGGGAGAAAGAGAGGAGAGAGAGAGAGACACAGACAGAGAGAGAGAGAAAGGAAGAGAGAGAGAGAGTGAAAGAGAGAGGAGGGAGAGGGAGAGAGAAGAAAGGAAGAGAGGGAGGGAGAGAAAGAGGGAGAAAGGGAGATAGAAAGGGAAAGAGAGAGGAGGGAGAGGGAGAGAGGGAGGAATAGGGAGAGAGAGGGAGGGAGAGAGAGAGACAGAGAGAGGAAGAGAGAAGGAAATAGGCAGCAGCTGCCAAGTCAAAACACAGACAAACCCTAAGAAAATCTCTGGGCCAGGGACGATGACCCAGCATGACCCAGCAGGAAGAGGAGGTGAGAGTGGGGTGCGGAGAGGAGGTGAGCAAGGGGTCCGACGGGCTGCTCTGGCCCTGGGAGCACCTCACAGGAGTGGAGCAATGCGGCTCTCTAGGCGGCCACTGCAGAAGCAGGAAGCACAGCCACATCTCAGACCTTCCCCGACATCAGGATCCTGGGAAATAGACTTGCCGCCCCGACCTCTAGTTTCCAATCCTGTCCCAGTCCTCCTTCTCGCTAAGGGGCAAGTCGCTACAACGGAGACATCTAACGGCTGTGAAGAGGGGGATTCTCTGCTGGGGGCCTTCTAGGTCAAATTCTATGTGTAACACTAAGATGCTCAAGATGATGATAGGAAAACCCAGGGCCGGAAGGCTAGGACGGCGGTGGGGGCACTTGACTGGCACGAAGCCCACCAAGGTCCAGCCACAGAAGCAAGGCTGTGGGCCCCCGAGGACCACCAGAATGATCCATGAACAGTCAGGAGGCAGCCCTGAGCACACTGGGTGTAGGCCCAAACCAACACTCCTACCTCCCCTCCCCCGAAAAAAAAAGCAGACATGTCCATGGACGCTGCGTCCCCTGCAGCCCTGTGCGATGGAGCGGGAGGCAGCAGGAACTGTTTTTGTCTGTTGGTTTGGGGGCCTTACCCGGAGGTGGCTCAGGGCAGGGTCTGTCTGTGAGCCGGGAATGGAATCCGGTTGACCACAGGCAGGGTGAGCCGTTCACCTGCTGAGCGCCTTCCCCTGTGGGTAAGAGGGGGAAGCTGCCCCACAAGGAGGTCTCAAACTGCCCACACAGGCCATGCTGGATCCTGTGTATCCCAAGCTGGGAATGATCAAAGGGAGATGCTTTGGCGGTGGAGTGCAGCTCCAGGAACCAACTTAGAGGCATCCCTCATGTCAATGCGGCCAACAGGAGGGACGCACCGAGTCCGGTCCCGTGGGTGCTGGGACCAGCCAGTGTCCACGCACAGCCTGGACAGCCCGCACCACATGGCCCAGGACCCAGAGAAAAGGGCAAGCAGGGGGCTGGGAGTGAACCCACGGACTCAGGCCCGAGAGGATGTCTCAGCCCCATCCCACCACTGCTGCAGTGAAGAGAACGGAAGGACGAGAAATTGGAATAAACCGGGAAGGAGCTAGGTGGTGGCCGGGAGCAGAACGGGAGCTTCAGCAGCTGGGTGGTAGGTGGGACCATGTCTCAGAATCACCCAGGAAGTAATCGTGTGTGTGTGTGTGTGAGAGAGAGAGAGAGAGAGAGAGAGAGAGAGAGAGAGAGAGAAAGTGAGTATGTGTGAGTGCATGAATATGTGAGTGTGTGTGAGTTTGTGAGAGTGTATGTATGAGTTTGTGTATGACTGAGTGTGTGAGTGCAGGAATAGGTGAGAGTGTGTGTGTCTAAGTGTGAGTGTGTGAGTGCAAGAATGTGTGTGTGCAAGTGCGTAAGTATGTGAGTTTGTGTGTGAGTTTGTGAGCGTGCAAGAGTTTATTTGTGAGTGAGTATGTGTGTGAGTGCGTGAGTATGTGGCAGTGGTCTGTGTGTGAGCGTGTGAGCATGTTTGTGTGAAGGAGTGTGAGTGTGTGTGTGTGTGTGTCTGTCTGTCTGTGGCTATAGTTCCTGGAGTGGTGGATAAAACAGGGCGTTTAGCATCCGCCCAGCCCAGCTGCTCTGGAAAGAAGGTTGGTGGCGAACAGGAGTAAGACCAGAGTAAGCCCCAAGCCACCCGACCTCCCGGTAAGGCCCAAAATCTAAAGAAGAAAACAATTCCTGCTTTTTTGTGGTCCATTGCACAGGGTGCCGTGGGGCAGACAGCAACCGAACCGGCAGTTCCTGTCATTCTTTGTCTGTAGGTGAGGTTGCAGAAGTGGTCGGCTTTCTCTACTTAAGGATCTCAGGTTCATCTTCAATTGCAACCAAGACTCAATCAGCTTTGTGTCAAAACTCTCCAACTTCTACTTTCTTTTAAGTTGTTAATCAACTCTAAAATAGTTTCAGACGAGAAGGACCTAAAGCCTGTGAAGATGCCGTTTCAACAGGACAATGTTTTGGTTAGTGAACTATTTTGCATCTTGTGTTGGTCTTTGGGCCACACCTTCAGGCCAGGGATTGGTCCCAGGGCTCCTGCATGCAGAGCACTTGCTCCAGTCCTGGAAGTCCTCTCCCCTGCCCTCATTTAAACTCTTCAAAAGTGTGAGTTTCAAAAAAAAAAGCGTGGGCAAGGGACTGGAGCATTCGGTGGCCGAGAACCATTCCCCTGGCCAGCATCGGACGGATGAAGGACAGGGGAACAGGGAAATTGGACCCCAGGCCAGTTGGTAAACACTATATTTCTCTCTTCTCCCCAACGTAGTTCGATCTCTCCCTTACAGCATAGTAATTTCTCCTTTCTCTCCAGCGTAATCCCTTCTTTTTTCCCTTGTCCTTAGCCTCCTCCTTTCTCTGCCCTTTTCCCTAGCCTAGTTTCCTCTTCCCCTTACAGAATAGTTATCTAGAAATCATGAAGGAAAGGGGTACACATAGGTGGGGTTGAACATTGTCGCAACAAACCCATGTAAAGTCACTCCTTCAGGGCAAGTTCTAGGAGATTAACTCAAGGACAAAATCTCATCTGAGGGTTCAGCACTCAAGATTACAAGGAGATCCCCTCAAGGGCGGGATTCAATCCAGGGTGTTTTGCTTTCTCCTTTCCTCAATTAGTAATCCACTCAAACAGTCATAGTGAATTTACTTCTTATAATATTTCTAGTCATTTTGTTGGGCTGGAGCGATAGCACAGAGGGTAGGGCATTTGTCTTGCACACTGCCAACCCGGGTTCGATTCCTCCATACGTGTCAGAGAGCCCGGCAAGCTACCGAGAGTATCCCGCCCACACAGCAGAGCCTGGCAAGCTACAGTGGGCGTATTTGATGTGCCAAAAACAGTAACAACAAGTCTCACAATGGAGACGATATTGGTGCCCGCTCAAGCAAATCAATGAACAACAGGATGACAGTGCTACAGTGCTACAGTGATTTTGTATGAACACAGTAGGAGATATATTAAGCTGAAAGGTTGGCCCTTCCTGGGGACATCTCCGCTATATATCCCAGACTAAGACTCACTATATATCTCAGGCCAGGTTATTCTTTCCCAAACCCAGCAGGGTCCTTATTCAGTTACTTCTTCTTGGGTCATGACAAAATTTGTTCCATGACTGTGCTCTTAAGTTTTTAAACTTCTTCTGGCACTTAGCTTGTCCCTTTCCAATGCCAGGGTAGCTTACAGCTTGTTCTGGGTCCATCCTTGTCCCTCATTGGGACCTTCCTTTTGGGGGTATTAGGAAGTAAGGGCAACTGAGGCTTAGGTCAAGTAAATATGATGGATGCCCAGGAGTAAATATTATTTGGAGTCAATTAACTCCCATGTTACAAAGCAAGCATGAACTGTCTTCCTGTGTCTAGACAGAAAGGACATTGCTAAGCCATGGAAGTGACATAAAGGAAAGAGAAAAGCAATCTAGGATTATTAGTGCTTGATGGAGTTGGGTGTGCCTCAGGGGCACTGTTGTGGGAGTAACTCAATAAACCTTAAGCTCCCCACAGGAGCTTAATTGTTATTTAGTGCAAACCTTACAAAATTCATTTTTCATATTTCCACCTACCGGTTATCTGGTTCTCTTTATTGTCAATCAATACTCACTGGTTATATATTAATAGATAACTAAACATGTTCTGATTTAATAATACTCTGGCTTAATCTAGTTCTAACTCTAAAAGGTTTTAGGGACAGATTTCATTATTATCAAAGAAAATAAATGAAGAATCGCACAAAAACACAGGTAATAAAGTAAGCAATTAAAAATGAAGGGCAAGTCCACAACACAACATGGAAGGACACAGGCAGAGCAACTTTTGCAAACATAATAAAATTCAAAAGTCAGTCAAGAGCCATTCTAATTACATGGCAACTATGAAACAGTCTCGTGCATGAGAAGCAATAATTAACCGCAGCCCATGAACGTGGGACCATACCTTGCCCTGAGGGGGTAGTGTGGCCTATTTTTTTTTTTTTTGGCTCTTTGGATCACACCTGGTGATGCAGAAGTTACTCCTGGGTTTGCATTCAGGAATCACTCCTGGCGGTGCTCAGGGGACCTTATGGGATGCTGGGAATCAAAATTGGGTGTGCAAGGCAAAAGCCCTAGCCGCTGTGCTGTTGCTCCAGCCCCAGAAGCATGGTTTTTAAAGACAAATCTTTCCAGCGTGGTGCCAGCCTACAGCCCTGAGAGAACTGCGCATCCAAGGCTGCTGAGCACTGGGCTCTGTCTGACCCCTTCTGAGACCAGACAGCATTTCTCTCGGAAGCAGCTGAGAGACCTCTGGAGTGTCAGTATAACTGATTTTTCCATTCCTGGCTGCAGGGATTCAGGTGTATTTGGGTCTAGACTAGAACTTGGCATAAACATACCACTGTAGAAAACTGCATGTTTCATATAGACAAGCGAGCACATGTGATCGAGGAGTTGGTTATATCCATTAAGAATGGTGTGTAGGGGGCTGGAGAGATAGCACAGCGGGTAGGGTGTTTGCCTTGCATGCAACTGGCCAGGTTCAATTCCCAGCATCCCATATGGTCCCCCGTCAAGCACCACCAGGAGTAATCCCTGCTGGCAGAGCCAGGAGTAACCTCTGTGCATCACCGGGTGTGACCCAAAAAGAAAAAAAAAAAGAATGGTGTGTAGAACCAGAGGGCCAGAACAGTGGGGGAGGCACTGGCCTTGCATGAGGCCTTCCTGGGCTCCATCTCCGGTACTGCCAAGTGGTCCCCTGAGCACCACCAAGCCTTATTCCTAAGCCAGAAAGAGACCCTGACCGCATCGGATGGAACCCAAACACCCAAAGAGCAAAATGGTCACCGCCCACGAGGGCGGCCAATGCCATCAGCTCTCACCTCGGTTCCGATGAACGTTGGACGGATGTACAGACTCGCAGACGTTGAATGGGGGACCCATTCCTGCTCCAGCTTCACGAGCTGTTTAATGCACTCTAAAAGCTCTTCCTTGTCAAACCCCTGGAAGAGTAAAAGTGACCCGTAGTGAGTATCATCCCCGTTAAGAAATCACCTTCAGACTCATTGTTAAGGGAGTCATATTAAAACCAAAAAAGAATTTTCTCCTGCGACATTTCCCCCCCACACACATTGTGATGAATGAATAGACCAATCCATGTGGGGAAGCAGGTTGGGTCGCCGCTTCTCACCCTATCCTCACTATTAACCAGAGCTAGTGAGACGCTTAAATGTAGTAAAACGCTAAGACTGGGCAAGAGAGAGAACTGTCCTCCCGTTATTCATCAATTTGCTTGAGCGGGCCCAGTAACGTCTCCATTGTGAGACTTGTTACTGTGTTTGGCATATCAAATACGTCATGGGGAGCTTGCCAGGCTTTGCCGTGTGGGTGAGATACTCTTGGTAACTTGCCGGGCTCTCTGAGAGGGGCGAGGAATCAAATCCGGCTCAGCCAGGCCGGCTGTGTGCAAGGCAAACGCCCTACTGCTGTGCTATCGCTCCAGCCCAAGAGAGAGAGAGAGAGAACACAAGAGTAAAAGCATTTGCCTTGCATGCAGCCAACCAGGTCTGATCCCTGAGCAAAGTGCAAGTATTAAGCCCTGACCACCACTAAGGATGGTTCAAAAACCAAGAAACAAAACCCCCTTAAAAGGGCAGCAGACTTGAAAAACATGATACAATTTAAAATAAAGCATGAAAAAGAAACTGTGACTTTTAGTCTTAGAAAAAAAATACAAAGTACCAGCATCATCTTTGGGTGATAGAGAAGGGACCATTACAACAATTGATGGTTGGAAGAGATCGTTCAGGATGGAAGATGTGTGCTGAAAGTGGTAAAGGACCAAACATGATGTCCTTTCAGTATCTGTACTGCAAACCATAATGCCAAAAAGAAGAGTGAGAGCAAGAGTGAGAAAGTGGCTACAATAGAGGCAGAGGCAGACTGGGGTGGGGAGGAGAGCTGGCAGGAGGCATACAGGGGATATTGGTGGCAGGAAATAACACTGGTGGAAGGGATGGGTGTTAGAACAGTGTATGAAACTGGGTCATAAAAGCTTTGTAACTGTATCTCACAGTGATTCAATTTTTAAAAAAATAAAGAATAAATAAATTTAACACACACACACACACACACACACACACACACACAAAAAGACTCTTAGACCTAGATTATAGGAACATAAACACGTGGGAATGAGAGAGATATGGGTGGGGGGGGGGGGGGTCAAGGTCAGGTGGTCCGGAGGCGACTCACCGGCAAAGCCCAGGGCCATGGACTCGTCTGTGGAATAGTCCTGAATGAGGCGTCTGTGTGTAGGTGAGACACTAGCACCAACACTACAGGAAGCACGGGACCCCAACTACAACAATTACACTGGAAAATGGGTCTCTCTAGGAGACGGGAACAAAGAAGCAGGTGGCCAGTGGATTGGAGCTAGCGGGCGGTGGGACCAGAGTTGGAACGCTGTGCGTGGGGGTTCTAGGGCCAGGGATGCTGTGTGTGTGGGGGGGGGGGGGTCTAGCCAGGGATGCTGTGCACGGGGGTTCTAGGGCCAGGCGCACTGGAGGTCACAGTGCTAATATGGCCAGGAGAGAGGCATGGGGTCAGAGCTGATCTGGGGTTCTGTGAACAGGGAGCCGACACCTGAACGAAGGATGTCTGGCGGGGAACTGAAGCGGCCGTGTCTGGTGGGGACACAGTGTGGACGTACCGGCAAGGTGGCCCTCGTGGCGGATCGATGCATTCGCTCCATGTTGAGCTTCGGCCGAAACAGGCGAATTTTGCCATCTACACCTCGAAACGCCTTCAGCCCTTCAAATAACTGAAGATACAAAAGAAAGCTTCAGGGCACAAGATGAAAAACACCCCATGTTCAATAGAGTAACCACCACCCGTGTGCAACAGAGTGACCATCTCCCATGTTCAACAGAGTAACCAACTCCCGTGTTCAACAGAGTAACCACTACCCGTGTACAGCAGAGTGACCATCTCCCGTGTACAACAGCGACTGCCTCCCATGTACAACAGAGTGACCATCTCCTGTGTTCAACCGAGTGACCGCCTCCCGTGTTCAAAGAGTGACCGCCTCCCATGTACAACAGTGACTGTCTCCTGTTTTCAACAGTGACCGCCTCCTGTGTACAACCAAGTGACCATCTCCTGTGTTCAACAGTGACCGTCTCCCGTGTACAACAGAGTGACCATCTCACCACTCCAAGTCACCGCACACAGCTCCCAGTGGGCCTGAGTGGAAACGCCACAGCTGGTGAGAGTAACTGCAAACTTGAGAAAAGGCCTTTCAGGACCATGGTCTGGGGGAAACCATCACCCTGGCTTGGCGAGAGCCGAGCTGCCCAGTCATGTGACTGTGACTCTGGGGCTGGGATTTCGAAGGCCACCACTGCAGGTCAGCATTAACTGCCATGACAGGAAGCAAATCTCCCTGGCCCCAAGGCGGGTCCTTCTGCCCCATCCTGCATGTGCAAACTGGAGAACAGGAAATCCCGTGGTTCTACTCAGTTCTCAGAACCAAGATCAAGCCTGAGCCGGGGTAGTTAGTCCAGCACCCAAAAGGGCTGGGGCTGCCCCCGCTCTTTGAACTAAAGTGTCCAGAGAGGGGTTCAGAGGATGACTATTTAGGGAGGGGGAGGCACACCTGGTGGTCCTCAGAGGACATACTCAGCTGGGTCAACCCTGGAAGTACTCAGGGGACCCTGTGGTGGCAGGAGAGAGCCCAGATAGACACATGAAGAGTGAGCTCCAGCCCACTAAGCTCTCTCCCCAGCCCCTCATGCCTAGGAAAGCTCACTCCTGAGGGTCTGGGCATGGCTACTCAGTGAGCCAGTCCCTTCCACAGGGGAGTCAGAAACAGGGGCTGCAGGGCAAGACCCTCACAGGAGCCCAAGACCTCAAACCTCTCCCCACAGGGGCATATGGTGGCAGTTCTCTGCTCTCAGGAGGGGCCCAAGTTCTCTCTGAGTTCCTGGACAGGCCCTGGTGGTGTCCACAGAGCACGCTATGCACCTGAGGGCAAGGAAAACAGCAGCTCTACTGGGCAGGGCTGACTCGGGCCTCAGCAGGCCACCATGCTTCTGATCATGGACACAGGGCATGGACACAGGCCTTGGACACAGGCCACAGTCCTCAAATCAGGTTAGTCTCAACAGGAGTGGCTCAATAAACCTTAAGCTCCCTGGGGGAGGAGCAAGGACAACCCAATGTTATCCAATAGCCACGTCACTCGAGAGTGTAGTTTTGAGGAGACGAGTTGGACGGACCTCTTCCTCAGTCGAGGTGATGGGGGTAGCTTTGGAGCCTGTGGATTCTACCTTTGTGTCTCAGGGTTGGGCTGACAGTGCTGGGGGTGTCACTGGTCATCAGGGACCAGGTAGTGACCAGAATCAAACGTCAGGCTCCCACAAGCGCTGGGCCCTTTGTCTCCTCTCCCGGGCCAGAACGTAGCTATTGGGAGCCTCCTCTCTGAGTCGGCTTCTCTCACACCAGCGCTCAGGGGTCAATCCCGGCAGTTAGCTGGGGGGCTGGTATCATGCAGAAAACGCAGAGTGAAGGAATGACTTCACAGTATCCTCTTAGCAACACGAGAGGCAGCCGTCACCCTGGCATGGATTTTACAGGGGAAGACGTAGAAGCCTGGCTTGTTCAAACAAACTTTCCACATCAGAGAACTCCCAGTGGAGCCACAGAGATAGGTGTGGGATGAGGAAGCGAGAATGCAGACCTGGACGCGCCCCCATCTGTGAGCCCACTTAGCATCTCCCAGGGGTGCTCACAGGTGTAAAGCTAAATAAAGCATCGCTGCCTGAGGCCCTCCTAGGGAGTCACCCCTGTCTCCAGTGGTCCAACATTCCAGGACAGATAGCCAACATCAGAAAAATTTAATAAAATGGGATCAAGGGGTAAGTTTGTTGGGTGGATCTGATTGCATGACAAGGAGAAAGCATTCAATACAAAATATTAAATATTTTACTTAAAATTAGTTCCTCCCCACCCAAAGGAGGATATTTTATTACAAGTCATTTAATTCTATCTGTTCATGCATCATGGTCACCAGCTTTAAACAATCATGAGAGGCCTGAGAGATCATACAGGCGAAGGCACTTGCCTTGCATGAAGCCGACCCTGGTTCAATCCCTGCCACCCCAAGTTCTCCAGGAATCATCCCTGAGCACAGAGCCAGGAGTCAGCCCTGAGCACAGCTGGGTGTGCTCACAAAACACACATAAAATCTCCATGTAGGGGCCAGAGAGAGTACAGAGATTAGGTGCTTGCCTTGCATGCAGCTGACCCAGGGGGAATCAATCCTTGAGCACCATCAGATGTGGCCCCACAACCAAAACCATCCTCCTCCTCCTCATCTCAGTGTAGAATTTGTTCTCAGACCCCCTTCACAGATATCACCCACTGTGGGACAAGACATAAAACAGCCGCAGTCATCAGCGTTTTGGTGGCTATTTTCCTTCCCACTGGCCCTCCAAGTTGCTCTCCATGATTAATTATGGACCTTATGGAAAACTTGAGATTACCTGAAAACTTAGTTCTCAAGACTTAGTTCTTAAGACTGAGCTCAAATACAACAGAGTAAAGACATCTGAAAGGCTACGGGGACTTCCCAGAAAAAAACTGGATGACTCTGGAAGGAGCAGCTTAGAGAGCCTGTGGAGAACTGGGCACCAAGCACCAAGCACCGGGCACCAAGTCTTACCTCCACAGCATAGTGCAGCACTGAGGAGCCGGGGTGCAGGGACAGGTTCTGGAGCGGCTTGATGTGCGGCTTCTCCCACCCGAACTCCAAGGACCACTCCACCGTTAACATATGGTCCGTGAACACCGTCCCGAAGACCAGCGTGCTGGGGTCTGGCTTCGCCTTCAAGATGGAAGCCGGGGTGATGACCAGATCCTTCGCCTGGAAGAGAGAAAGAAACAGCACTGACAGAGAGGATGACCATGAGCTACACTGAGATGAGGAGGAGGAGGATGGAGGAAAGGAGAGAATGACCAGCCTCCGCCGAGGAGGGAAGACAAGCTGAGGAAGCCGAGGACACTGGCCATTCAATCATGGTTTCTTGAACAACCAGCACTGGCGTGAATGAGGGGAGGGAAGGACACTCTTTCATGGTTGGTGGGAATGCCGACTGGTCCAGCCTTTTTGGAAAACAATGAGGACGCTCCTTCAAAAACTAGAAATCGAGTTTCCACATGACCCATCAATTAATACAACTTCTGGGAATATATCCTGAGGTGCAAAAAAGCACAGTAGAAATGACACCTGCACCTGTATGTTCCATGCAGCACTGTTAACAATAGCCGAAATCTGGAAACAACACAAATGCCCTAGAACAGATGCCTGGTTAAAGAAACTTTGGTACATCTACACAGTGCAATACTATGCAGCTGTTAGGAGAGATGAAGTCGTGAAGTTTGCTTATAAGTGGATGGACGTGGAAAGTATCATGCTGAGTGAAATGAGTCGGAAAGAGAGGGACGGACATAGAAGGACTGCACTCATTTGTGGAATGTAAAATAACATGAGGCTGACACCCAAGGACAGTAGACAAAAGGACCAGGAATATTGCCTTATAGTTGGCAGCCTGTCTCATGAGCTGGGGGAGAAGGCAGTTGGGATAGAGAAGGGACCACTAAGTTCAATGATGGTTGGAGGGATCGCTCGGGATGGGAGATGTGTGCTGAAAGTAGATAAAGGACCAACACGATGGCCTCTCAGAATCTGTATTGCAAACCATAATGCCCAAAAGGAGAGAGAGAGAGAGAGAGAGAGAGAGAGAGAGAGAGAGAGAGAGAGAATGGGGGAAATTGTCTGCCATGGAGGCAGGGGGAGGGTTGGAAAGGGGAGCAGATAAATAATACTGGGGACATTGGTGGTGGAGAATGTGCACTGGTGGAGGGATGGGTGTTCGATCATTGTATGACTGAGATTCAAACATGAAAGCTTTGTAACTGTGTCTCACAGTGATTTGAAATTTTTAAAAATATTTTTAAAGATTAAAAAAAGAGAGGCAGGAGCAATAGCACAGCGGGGAGGGCGTTTGCCTTGCACATGGCCAACCCGGGTTCGATTCCCAGCATCCCATATGTTCCCCTGAGCACCGCCAGGGGTAATTCCTGAATGCAGAGCCAGGAGTAACCTCTGTGCCTCGCTGGGTGTGGCCCCCCAAAAAACAAAAAATATTAAAAAAAAACTCAATCATGAACAACTTTGCAACTGTCTCGCACTGTCACTGTCACTGTCCTCCCGTTGTTCATTGATTTGCTCGAGCGGGCCCAGTAACGTCTCCATTGTGACACGTGTTATTGTGTTTGGCATATCGGATACGTCACGAGGAGCTTGCCAGACTTTGCCGTTGCGGGCGAGATACTCTCGGTAGCTTGCTGGGCTCTCCGAGGAGCAGAGGAATCGAACTCGGGTCAGCCAAGTTGGCCGCTTGCTAGGCAAACACCCTACCCACTGCGCTATCGCTCCAGCCGATCTCACAGTGATTCAATTTATTTTTTTAATTAAAATTTTTATTGTAGGGGCTTGAGAGATAGCACAGTGTTTGCCTTGCACGCGGCCGACTCGGGTTCGATTCCCAGCATCCCATATGGTCCCCTGAGCACCGCCAGGAGTAATTCCTGAGTGCAGAGCCAGGAGTAACCCCTGTGCATCGCCAGGTGTGACCCAAAAAGCAAAAAAAAAAAAAATTATTGTAGTGGGAATAAACCATGGTTCCTTAATTATATTTAAGTATATATATATATATATATATATATATATAAATTTTTTTTAAGTGAGATCACTCTTCCTCCCCAGCCCCTGAACTTAACCACCTTACAACTGAAATTTGCACCACTTCCCCCAAGCCCAGGCCCCAACAGTTAAATCTGGACAAGCAATTTCAGAAAGTCAGCAGCACCATGCGAGTTCACAGCCTGACCTGACACCTGCGACCTTAGTAATGCTCGCCACCCAATAAAGCCTCAAGTTCCTGTGATCATGGGAAACGGATAAAATGACAAATGGGATCAGATCGTGCTAAAGAGAACACGGCCACTTCTTCCTGGCCATCACAGAACTCTCGCGGAGTGTTTTAGCAAAGAAAAGGCTTTCTTCCCTCAATGGTAAAAAGGAGGCAGGCCCGTCCCACAAGGATGACACCGGGAGGAACCAGCTAGCCCTCCCAACGTGGCACCACCACGCTCCAGCTCCCATCGAGAATTCTTGGCACACACCCTCAAAGCCACCGGGGAAGCTCCAGGAGAAACGGCCGAGGGAAGCAAATGTTTTTCTCTTTGAAAAGTCAAGACTGGACACAGATATTAGTCCTCTGTTCTCTGCGGAGACAGTGCACAAAGGACCTCTTATCCACAGAAAGAGCGAAAAGACAGAAAACAGCCGCACCCGGCCGCATCTCGCCACCTCTCCTCCGAGGCTGCTGACCAAACAATGTGGCCACTCACGGTGGCACCACTGGAGACCGGGGGAAAACCGCAGGAGAGGGAACATCTTGGGACATTAAAAAAAAAAAAACACAGGGTTAAACCAGGGTTAACTGGGGTCAGGCTCAACCTGCTGCTGGTGGCTGCAGTGAAGGACCAGCGAACTCGAGTCCTGATCCCAGACATGCTCAATGCACCCCCAGATCACATCCACAGAACAGCATGTTCCCTCCTTAGCTCTCATCATTCGTGACTCATCTGATGGACTAGGATGAATTCACGGCCTCATATTGTCTTCATCATTTGGTTTTCCTGTGAGTGTTCATCATTTTTATTTTTAGAAATAATATTCGGGCTTCAAATTGCGTTCTCCAACAGCTAGAAAGCTCAGATTACCAAAGAAAACCTCAGACTGACAGATTGTGGTCATTTCCGGCTCATCTAGTAAAACTCCTCTGAAGAGTCAATAAAACGCGGAACTGGGGGAGAAAGGACTTCCTCCTATTGTAACCAAGGGCAAGTGAGTTGACTTAAAACTCCTTGCTAAGTACGAGACAGTAAATCCATTAAAGGGAGACAGTCCCTGTCCGGAGAAATAAAAGAGGGGTTAAGGCACTTGCCTTGCATGAGGCCGATCCAAGTTATTCCCTTAGCACCATCTCTGCTCCCCTGAGCATCACCAAGAGTGCTCCTGCTGGATATGGCCCAAACCCTTCCCCCGCCCCCCAAAAATGTAAAATCTACAGTACTGAGCCTGTCTCTCGGCCTCTACACTTAGATATTTGCATTGGGGATTCTCAACCTGGACACATGAAGGGCGATTTTATATACACTAATCTCAGCCCCTTTCCAGAACTCAGCCAAACGCTCAGATGAAGTGGGCTGGTTTGCTTGGAGCTGCCCCAGTGATTCTGAGGGGTGGGAGAGGACCGAAGCAGAGCACCACATCCCTTAAAGAAAGGGGACCCCATCCTGGCTGCCGGCGTCAGCCCTCCCCCAGATGAAATGGACACGCAGGAGACAGGAGCTACAGTAGTGGGTGCCCAGGCCCAGGAAGGCCGAGGAGTAGTGTGAGGGGCCGGTCTCGGGGACTGTGGGTTCTCCCCAAGATACCCTGGCTGGTTTGGAACCCTAACACCTTGGTTTCCTCAACTTTAGGATACGGGCTATTTCTTCAGAACAGAGTCCCTCCTTCTGGAACTCACTCTGCTTTCCATTTTTATTCTGGGATCCTTCATTTAGTGGGAGCAGACTTATATTCATTATTTTATTTTAAAAGTATAAAAAAAAATAGGATGAAACATATAAACATTGCCATTAGGGGCCAAAGTGATAGTACAGAAGGTAGGGAGCTTGCTTTGCACATGGTCAACCCAGGTTTGATGCCTGGTTACCCCATATGGTCCCCCGAGCCCTGCCAGGTGTGATCCCTGAGTGCAGAACCAGGAGCAAGCCCTGAGCATGGTTGGAGGTGGCCCCAAAACAATACAAAACAAAACAAAAAAATCACCATCATTGTAGCAAGCACATTTCCACTTCCCAAAAATGACGGCCACAACCAGGTCCTTTCACTCACTCGCTTCCTCTCATTCATTTACGTCTAAGCCAGAATCTCTTACTTCTTACTGAGCAAAGCATTCTGCTGCAAGTAAATGAAAAACAACCAGAATTGGCTTTGTCACAAAAGAAGTAGCGAGATGGGGCTGGAGCGATAGCACAGTAGGGTAGGGCATTTGCCTTGCACACGGCCGACCCGGGTTCAATTCCCAGCATCCCATATGGTCCCCTGAGCACGCCAGGAGTGATTCCTGAAGGCAGAGCCAGGAGTGACCCCTGAGCATCGCCAGGTGTGATCCAAAAAGAAAAAAGAAAGAAAGAAAGAAAGAAAGAAAGAAAGAAAGAAAGAAAGAGCGAGGAGAGAGGCCTCAGTGGACCCCGTACATCAGGGCCCAGTGGTTCTCCTGTCCCCTTCTTCCGGTTCCGAGGGCTACTGGGCTACTAGGGCCAGGGGGCACTCCAAGGGGTCAGATGCTGTCCTCGCCTGTGGCCAATCCCTGGTCAAGCACCGAGCACCAGCACCTGTGACCTCACGATCTCCCACCACCACAAAGAAAGGCTGCTCTGCGGTTGCTTCAGTTCTATCGACCAGCCAAGGCCCAGAGAAAGGGGAGAAAAGGGACAAAACCGTTGTTTCCTTGGACCACAAAAGCTCAGTGGCCCCCTCACCCAAAGTCCCTTCTGCCTCATTAGCTATAAATGTGTCCCTGAGTCTCCTCAGCCACACAGGTCAGGAAGGCAAGAGCCAAGGGTCTTCAACGACTGTCACTTTGCTGATAAAGCTGATGAGGAGAGAACAATCCTGACTGTCATGAATGAAAGGACACAACCCCAGGATCCTCCGGGATCCCCGAGGATCCCGGGGATCCCCTAGGATCCGCTTTCCCTTAGGGCAAAGTTTCCAAGAATCTCTGGCTGAAGCAACATGAGGACCTGCTGTGTGTCATGGGGGCGGAAGGAGCTTTGCAAATAGAACCAGAGTTCTGGTACCAAGAAACAGGGGTGAGGGCAGCGCTGGGGGCACATCAGGCCCCCGAGTACGAACACTGATGCCTCAGCTTTCTGTTGACTTCTCTTTGCCCAAGTGGCGGAACAGAACTGCAGGCATGCAGACCACACACACACACACACACACACACACACACACACACACACACACACCTTTCACTCCCCACCCCATTTCTAACACGGGTCACGAGGGGCCTTGCCTTGTTTGCCCAACCACTTCTTTTCCACTGGAAGCCTGGACACTGGGACCCCAGCTGCCCTCTGCTTCGTAAACTACCGGCCACTCGCTCGCCCTAATGCTCATGCCGTGATCTCTGCAGACGGCTTGTCAACTGCACTACTGGGTTCAACTTTAGAAACGCTCTGAAATGATCTGATCAGAGGAGATTGGGGTCACTTCTCTGTGGCATGTTTGCTGAACCCCCATCCACCACAGCAATTGTTTACTTTATACATGACTTGTCCAATTAATGTTATTCCAAACTTCCCAGATCAATTTTTATGGCTTTGACTTTTCTCAACATATTAGACTGCTATCTATAACTAAAAAAAAAAAAAAAGAAAGAAATGAACTTCCTGTATTTTATTTAAAGACCTGTTCTGTGTATTTTAAGGGCCACACCCAGTGGTGCTCAGGGTTTACACCTGGTTCTGCGCTTAGGGATCACATGTGGTGGGACTCGGAGGACCATCTGGGGTGCAGGAATCGAACCCAGGTTAGCCGTGTGCAAGGCAAGTGCACTACCCACTGTGCCCCAAAGAACATTTTTCAGAGTGACCATAACCCAGTATGTCAAACAAGCACTGTCCTCCCATTGTACATTGATTTGCTCGAGCGGGCCCAGTAACATCTCCATTTGGAGACTTGTTGTTACTGTGTTTGGCACATTGAATATGTCACGGGTAGCTTGCCAGGCTTTGCTATGCGGGTGAAATACTCTTGGTAGCTTGAGAGGGGCGGAGGAATCGAACCCACCTCGCCTAGGCTGGCTGCGCACAAGGCAGATGCCCTACTGCTGTGCTATCGCTCCAGCCCGACCCAGTATGTAATTTTCCCTTTCCTGGACTCTGGCCTTAACCAACATCCCAGGACAACCCAGGTGGGCCCGAGGCCCGAGAGCAGAGCAGAAGGTGCAGGAAATGTTCTCATGTCTGGCGTGGCCCGTGATTACTGAAGTGCTCTGGGCTTCCTTTATTTGAAAACATCCCATCCATTCTAAAATCCAAAAGTGACCATTTTAAACAGAACCCCAAGAGAAATGTTCAAAGAATACCAAATCTGGACCACCGCAAGATGCAGTGAAATGAAGTCCAAAAGCAAATGGCATGTGACTGTCAGCAGAGGAAATGGTAGCAAAGAAACAAGACTGTGCTCTTGCCGGGGTGATGGCGACCCCTGTCCTGGTTCGCATCCTTGGCACCTCTTGGGGTCCCCCTGAGGAGTCGGGAATAGCCCCTAAGTACAAGCAAGTATGACCCCCAAACAAAAAAAGACAAGTGTGACCCCAAGACAAAAGAAAACAAACAGACTTTACAGACATTTTGTGTTTTGTTTTGTTTGGGGCCACACTTGGCAGTGCTGGGGGACCACATGGGGTGCCGGGGACAGAATCTGGGTGGATTGGCCGTGCGCTGTACTATCACTCTGACCCAATGGGCCATTTTTATCCGTGCCCTTTAAGGACCATTTTCTCCTGCTCCGCTTCTGGTCCACACACAGACAATAGCACCATTTATGCCAAGATGCCTTTGCATAATTGTCTCTCTCCTCCAGATGCCCCATGTTCTCTGACGATTTCAAAGTCAGGATGTTCCATCTGCTTTGGAGAAAAAAAAACCTGACTCGCCCCAGTCACCGGGCTGTGAAATGGTGTGAAATATAATAACAAACAGGGCATAGGAAAACATGACTTTCGATTTGAAAATTCTGGGCTGGCAACACTGGCTCTGAGTGGAAAACCCCAGGGGTTGGTCCAGCCTGGTGGGTGCCTGAGGAGAGGACCGGGATGTCCTCTCACCTGTCTGCACCCCTACACACCCAGCAGGAAGCCTCATACCTGCCTCACACTCTGGGTTGGGGGCTTTGCGGTCCCCTTCCCTTGGAGGACCCACAGCATTCCCAAGATTCCCTCATTTTCCTCACTCTACTTGGATGGCTACAGCCACACGGATGCCGGTTCAGAGACACACTTGGGGGGCACCATGGGAGCAGGAGCGGAGAACGGCGGGTTCACAGCATCTGTGCACATCTGTGAATCGAACACAGCTGACCCCTGATCCGAGAAAGGGTCCAAGAAGAAGGCACCACTGCCAAGTGCTAGCAGGTCCCCGTCCTCACAGTGACCCAGCGACTATGGGACAGTGTAGGAAATGCTTGAGACCCCAAACAGGTTGCAAAGGGGGAGTTGAGCCAGAGAGACAAAGCTATGTCGAGGGCACAGGCGGTCCTATGAAGTCCACCACTTTCTCCCCCCACAAAATTATCTTTCCCATGCCTCACCACCGCCAGTAGAACCAGAGTCACAGCTCAGCACCAGAACACTCCAAAAGCTAACTGGACCGAGACCAAATTCACACAGAAGAGATCATCCCATCCTATAGTGTTGAGGGTGAAACTGATGCCATGACAAGCTGCAGCTAACATTAAGTCTCAGCTAGGCCTCAGTTTCTGTTTCCCTGAAGCAGAACTTGCAGTTTCTGGTACACATCCAGTTGAATAATTTGCCGAGATAAGGAATTGGGCAGTTGGGTCTGGCCAATCATGAGGGGTCTCTCTGCCCTCCTTAGAAATTGTTACTGGGGCTGGAGCAATATTGTTACTGGGGCAGGAGCATGGTGGGTAGGGCATTTGCCTTGCACATGGCCGACCCGGGTTCCATTCCCAGCATCCCATATGGTTCCCCGAACACCGCCAGGAGTTATTTCTGAGTGCATGAGCCAGGAATAACCCCTGTGCATCATCAGGTGTGACACAAAAAGCAAAAAAAAAAAAAACAAGAAACTGTTACTAACCATTGTCTAATTGCTGACCACTGTTGTAATAGGGCCAATGCTAAAAATAGACCAGTATATAAATTGCCTCTTTCTTTTCTTTTTTTTTTTTTTTTTTTTTTTTTGCTTTTTGGGTCACACCCGGCGATGTGTGTTACCCAAGAGTTACTCCTGGTTCATGCACTCAGGAATTACTCCTGGCGGTGCTCGGGGGACCATATAGGATGCTGGGAATCGAACCTAGGTCGGCTGCGTGCAAGGCAAATGCCCTACCCACTGTGCTATTGCTCCAGCCCCTATAAATTGCCTCTTAACTCTGAATAAATTGCTTGTGATTTGGAGTCGGGGTCCTGGTCAAGACTCCACTGCATTGGATGAGACTTGAACCCTAGCTCGAGCTAGCAATGGCTTGAGCTAGTACTAAAGCTCCTTTGCTTTTGCGTTATTGTGTGTGGACTGGATCTCTCTGCGATTGGGGATCTGAAACTCATGACAACAATAGTCATTCTTCACTTGGAAAAAATATTCTACCTGGAAGATTAAGAAGGCATTAGTGGGGGGGGAGTTGTGGTTCATATAGATCCTGTGAGCGATTCACTCACTGTCTAAGCAGATCCTCAGAAACGAGCAAGCAGCAGTGCTCTTGAACTGCTTCTTCGAAAGACCCATATTCAAATCTAGTTCCTCAAAGAGGGCTTGGGAGCCAAGCGGGGCATCTGGCTTCAGGCCCTCTGAGCATCTGTCTTTAAGGGACCAGAAAGATTACAACGGAAATGCCCAACTTCACACTAGCAGGGTAATGACTACATCCTCTTATTCTCTGGTTTTCAAATAATTCTGAGCAGAGACTGTATTTTGAACCGATCCCGTGGCGTCTGCTGCCCGGTGCAGATAGAGCTGGGAGGGTGGGAGAGAGGCTGACCCCCGTTCAGATCTGAGGTCATTAAGACAGTGTGCTGGGGCTGGACCGATAGCACAGCGGGTAGGGCGTCTGCCTTCCACGCAGCAGACCTGGGTTCGATCCACAGCATCCCATATGCTCCCCTGAGCACCGCCAGGAGTCATTCCTGAGTGCAGAGCCAGGAGTAACCCCTGAGCATCATCGGGTGTGACCCAAAAAGCAAAAAAATAAAGACAGGATGCTGGGTTTGACAAGTGACAGGGACCCACACAGGCCCCAGGAGAGCAGACCAGAGGGGCCACAGAGATAGAACCCAAATCCTCCACATTTGGGGGGAGAGGGAGGACACACGGCAGGAAACCATCCACCTAGAATGCTGAGACTCCTCCCATTTGGGCTTTTCATTAAACAATTTTAAACAAGATTCTCAGTTGCCCTTTCTGAGGAGACATTAAAGAAACCCACCCTTCATAGAAGCGTTTTTACTGCAAAATGTGAGGCGTGGCTGAACGAGGAAAATGCCACTTCTTCCACAAGTGAAATGAAGGATTATTATCAGGCCATCAGCCTCTAAACCTCTGGGCGAGCATTCAGACTGATTATAATCCAAGGGAAGCGTGTGTTTCATGGAATAAAATGGGCCATGGAACCGCGTGGGAATTTCGGGGAGCTGCTCCCTGCATTCAGGACAGGGATGGTCGCTGGAGCTAGAATAACCCGGAGGAAAGAGCATCCCAGAAATGCACCCCGGAGTGAATGTCATCCCCTTAACCTTGAGCGACAAGCTCCTACCTTAAACGTCTCCCCGGCATCCTTGGATCCGCCTTCTCCGGTATATTCTGCCAGGCAGCCGTTATTGCAGTCCTTAAAAATAGAAGATAAAAGAGGACAAGCCCTTAAGTAAAGCCGGGTGGAGGACAGGGGTGCGGGGCCACCCGGGCACTCACCCTGACCTGAGCGCTCCCTCCGCAGCAGGACTGGCAAGGCAGGCGCAGAGGGGGCGCACTGTGGTGGGGGTGGGCAACGCTCCCCGACTCTGCCGGGCCTCCCGGACCCTCCCCGGCCCTGGGGGACCCTCTCCAGCTTCCCCAGACCTTTCCCGGCTCCCCCGGACCCTGCCGGGGTCTTGGGGACCCTCCCAAACTCTCCCTAGTTCTTGGGGACCCTCCCCAGCTCCTCCCGACCCTCCTCGGCTCCCCTCGACTCTCCCTCGGCCCTCCCCGGCTCTCGGGACCATCCCCACTGCCCCCCCACCCTCCTCCTCTCCCCCCTCCCCCGGCCTCCCCGACCCCCCATCCTTCCTAGCTCCCACACAGCGGCCGAGAACGCGCGCGGTCGCACTCCAGGTGGCCGGCTGGGGACACCGGGCGCTGGTCCGTCCTCCCTGCGCCCGAGCCACGAGCCCACCCCACGCGGGGATTAACCCAGGGCCGGGAAGAGCCCAGGGGCTGGCCGAGCCTCGTGGCCCGGTCCCTCGGCGGCGCACAATAGCCGGCTGGGGCCAGGGGCCAGGGCTGGGGACCGCAACCGACCATTTCCTCCGGCGCAGGGTCCCCCGCTGGCCGGCACCAGGTCACCAACGCGGACCGCGGCGCGGCCCCGGCATCTCAGCGCCGCGAAGGCCACAAAGGAAGCGGGGCGGCTGGGGACGGCGCCAGCGGCCGATCCTGCCCGGTTCTAAGCTCAGATCCGGCGGGCGGGTCGGGCCGCGGCAGGAGGGACGAGAAGCATCCCCGAGTGCGCGGCGCGCGAGGTGCGACGCGCCCCCAAATGCTCCTCCCCGCCCCGCCCCGCCCCAACGGCCCCCGCGAGGGTCCCCAGCGGCGGGTGCGCCCCGGGAGCGGGTGGGAGGACCCTGGATCTGCCGCGGGGTCCCGCCCGCCCGAGATCACGGTACCTGGCGGCCGAGGGTCCCGGCGGCGCGGGCCCTGGACACGGATGGGCCGGGCCGAGCCCCCGCGCGGCGCCCGCAGCCCCGCGCCAGCCTCGCGCCCGCCCCGCGCAACGCCGCCAGCATCCTCTGTCCCCCAGCACCCGGGACCCCGGCGACCAGGCGCGGCTCTGTCCCCAGCCCCCGGGCCCCCGGCGACCAGGCCTCCTCGCCAAGGCGCTCCCCAGCCCCGAGCTGGCCACTGCGCGCGCAACTGTGCCTGCGCGCTGCCCTGCAGGGACCCCCCAAAGCAAACCCAAGGGAAAGAAAGAAAACCCGGGCGTTGCAGCCGTTCATGCCAACCCCACCTCCCAGGAAGAACGCGGGGCTCCTGGGGGGTGCAGTCACCAGGCTCAGCTCCCACGCGCCACGTCTGCCCCAAAGCCCCCGAGGGCACGAGCACCCACTCTCGCCTTTTGTAGGTAAAACTGAGCACCTGAGCGCTCCCGTCCTTGGAGCTGTTGGCCCAGGACTTGAAGGTTTGGGTTTTCTGTTTGGGGTGGGCACCCGGTGAGGTTCCGAGGTTGCTCTCGGCCCTGAACTATCCCTCCAGCCCGAGAGCGTAGTGCCCAGGGCTGGAGACCCGCTGGGTTCAGCAAGGAGAAAGGAAACTGGTAACCAGGCTCTCTCCAGCCGCCTCCCGGCCCCGAAGCCCGCAATTAAGAGCCTTTTAAGTTGACCCAAGTGGTGATTTGGACTGACTTGATCTAGGAGAGCGGAGAGGGCAGTTTATTCTGGTTTATTCTGAGAGGGTGGTTAAAAGCAGCCCAGGATTATAAGGCAATCCTGCAGAGACCGCAGCTGTAATATTCCAGTTCAGAACGTAGCTCTCACAAGCCCCACCCCGCAGGACACCTCTCAGGCTAGGGTGCAAGGGGCGCGGCAGGGGACCCCTTCCAGCCCACGGCGGGGGGGGGGGGACCTCCTTTATCTTTTTAAAAGAAATCTGAGGGGGCTAGAGTGATAGCACCACGGGTAGGGCGTTTGCCTTGCACGCGGCCAACCCGGGTTCGATCCCCAGCATCCCACATGGTCCCCTGGGCACTGCCAAGAAGTGATTCCTGAGTGCAGAGCCAGGAGGAACCCCTGAGCATCACCGGGTGTGACCCAAAAAAAGTAAAAATAAATAAATGAATAAAAGAAATTTGAAATAATTCTGAAACACTGATCAAGTAAATTCCGGGGCTGCCTGTTAACTTAATCTGCCCAAACTTGAAGAAGAAATCCAAGTAGGAAGACGTCTCAAAGGGCTGGAACACACACTTTGATTCCATTCCTGACACCTAGTGATCCACGAAACCCCATGGGGACCAGCCCTGGAGCACTGCCGAGTGAGACCCCAAACTAACAAGAAATGCAGTTTATTGGGGCTGGAGCAATAGTACAGCGGGTAGGGTGTTTGCCTTGCATGTGGCTGGCCAGGGCTCCATCCCTGGCATCTCATGTGGTTCCCTGAGAACTGCCAGGAGAGATTCCTGAGCACAGAGCCAGGTGTAACCCCTGAGCATCACCAGGTGAGGCCCATAAACAAACCAAAATAAGCTGTAGTTTATTTGCTTCGGCAAGGTTGGTGTGTGATGTCTGTACCACCTCTGGCCAAGAGAGAACTCAATCTACCAGGAATAGAATATCCCAAAGGTCACCCCTGGACCCCAACACCTTCCCTCCCCATCAGAACCAAACTTGATGAAAACGCCGTCCTGCTCCCTCCTCTTCCTATAACTCAAATTTGACTTATTAACTAAAAAAAAAAAAATCCCAATGCGAAGGAAAGGAGAGGAAAAAAAAAAAAGAACTCGAAAGATCGGGGTGCACTGCAGGTTAGAAATGTGAATCCAGTTAAGCGCCGAGGGCTGGGGCTCTGAGCAGATCACACACACACACACACACACACACACACCTTGAGAGCTGGGTCCGATTTACATGCAATGAGGATGGGTAGGCTGTGCTCCAAGGGGAAGAGAAAATTATGCTAAAGCAACCAAACACTTGTCTTTAAAAGGCTTCATGCAATTCCAGCCATCTGTGCAGAACAGGAAAATGCATAAGTTGAAATCTAGCTCTGTTATCTCCAGGTCCCCCTGGGTCCGGAACATACAGATCAGCAGGGAACAGCTCCTCCTGGGAAGGAGGGCCACACCCAGCAGTGCTCAGGGCTTACTCATGGCTCTGTGGTTCACTCCAGGCGGGGCTGGGGCACCGTCTGGGCACCAGAGATCAAAACCAGGGCTCGCAGGTCCTCCCTGCTGCCCTCTCTCCTAACAGCCGTCCTTGGTCCAACCCAGTGGTTTTGCTTCCTGTGCCTTTCCACGGTCCTGCCTCTGTGTGGACAGCGGTGTAAAGGCATCTCTCTCTCTCTAGTGCACCTCGCCCGAGTGGTAAGAGTCAAAAATCTGTCTAATGCATGTCTGATGTCTTTGGGGTAGGGAACCCCCCACATCACGGTGAGGGGGTGGGGTGCTGCTTTGAAGCTATTCTTGGCTCTGTGTTCAGGAGTGCCCCCTGGTGGTGGCTGGTGGAACCATACTCAGTGCCTAGAATCAACCGCCATGTGCCTTAAGCAATGCAAAAGAAACCTTTTACAGGTGCCAAAGTTTTCTTCCAGACTCCCACATCCATAAAGGGTCCCCAGCCAACATTCAGAAAACAAGGACTGGGCCACAAAGAGTGTCGGGGTCAGGTCACTGTCTCTGCTCACTGCTGAGTGCAGCTTGATTCTCCCAAGACCCACCAGGAGTGATCCCTGAGCACTGCCAAGCACCCCCCCCAACCAAAGAAAATTTAAGAATTAACAGTGAGGTACCAGGTGAGGCGTTTTTGCCCCCAGCGGGCAGGACTCGCCTTACAGAGCAGAACTGACAAAGGGAGAATGGGACAAGTGCTCCCTGAGTACCTCTAGAAATGGGAAGAACTCTGCCCAGAAAGGTTTGGAAGGGCTTTTGGAAAAGAAGTCCTAGAAGGGGGAATATCAAACGTATGTGGCCTACTGCCCCTTTTCCAAAAACATTTATCACACACACACACACACACACACACACACCCCCGGGAAATCCAACCCTAAATGAAGAAACAGAATGTACCCCGCCCCCAGTGGCACCCAGGGGTACTACATCCCCCTGGATCACTCCGACGCCCCCCTATAGGTCGGTATTGCCGATTTAGGAAAACCGGTCCCAGGGCACAAGCCATTGAGGCAGGAAAGTGGGGTCCCAGGCTGCAGGGCCCCCTCCAAGAAGGAAAGGAGCACAGGGCCCAGAGAGGCTACCAGAGAAGGGACGAGGAGAGGGACAGGCAGGGGGTGTCATACAGAGAACGAAATATCCAGAGCACGATGGACCTGGATGGAGGTACAAAACACAGCTTGTGTTCTGGAGTCTTGTCAAGTCCCCAGGAAGTGATGGACGCTGGTTCCCGTGCAGGAGGGGAATGTGCAAAGAAAGTCTCAGAAGCCAGACTTCTCAACACACACACACACACACACACACACACACACACACACACACAGAGTGAGAGGCGTTCCTCAGCTGGGGTCCCCAGGACAGGCTTTCCCTTGCTGGTCCCCCCAGGAGGAGACACACATTCCCACAATGTGTCTGAGATGCTTCCAAGACCAGAATTATTTTGCACTCCAGAAGCAGACAGTTATGGGGTGGGAGTGTAGCTGTGGGCGGGGGGCGGCGGAGGTCTAGCAAACGTTTTTCTGTAAATACTAGAGAAATTGCTACTGATGTTGGTGGACCAACAGCTTATGTGAAGCAGGGAGGAGAAAGATGGTCACTTTGTCCCCAACTGCCTCTGCCACCCGGGACCCAGGGTTACTGGGTTCTTGCCTGGCCTCACAGAAAGGAATCTCAGGAGTATTCAAACAGTGAAGGAAACAGATTTTATTTGGAGGTTTTGAATGGGAGGAGTGGGAGAGAGTGGAGAGTAATGT